TTGCTCCGTATGGCATTTTCGATGTTGCTGCGCAGGTTGGTCGCAGGAAGTTTCAATGATAAATGGGTTAGGGGCGTGCAGCGCACGTGGGGGAGCAGGGGCTAGTGGCCGTAGAGATGCCCTCGGAGAATAAGGGCGCCCAGTTGTTGAACTTGGCGATTGAGCTTGGGCGATAAAACCTGACGAGTAGGCAATCTTAGGTGCCAGCGGCCGTAGAGGTCTTTTCGGAACATCAGGAGGATATTCTGTTAAATTTGGCAAGGGCTTAATCTTTTTTCGCAGAGGCTGTAGAGAATTTAGACAGTAATCGAATGGCGATGGCTGCGAGGTTGATAGCTGGTCATTATTGGTTTTATTTAGAACGGGGACATCAGGAGCATTTTGTTTAGTTTTCGGAAGTAATGTTCGTTGCAATGACGTGGAGTTGGAAGTTTGCCTAGCACGAGAGGTGTCTTCACAACCAGGTTTAGTGAATTAATAGAAATTAGCAAGGCCGGCTTATAAGAAGCCAGTCCTCCACCGAGTGTCTGTACTCTCTTTCACAGGGGGTGTTAACTAACTGATTCTGACCACCCGTGCGGAGGCCTTCTGGCGGCAATCATGGCAGGTTTTGAACTGGGTGGAATACCATGGACTGGCACAACCTGAGCAACGGGTACGGGCAGTGGGGGATGGCATTGCTAAGAGAGATGATGGAGAGCGATAATAATCCTAAAGAGAATAACTCAATAATAGAAGACAGTCATGATGTCGATGATTTTGGCCGAAGAACCTAAACATTGTAACGTAGCCCAAGAACACGAAAAGTCTATCAAGCCCTCATGCCCTTTTTGTGAAAGGAGCTTTCTGTCGTTGCAGAAGTTAGCCAAACCGTAACTAATCTTGTCAATGCATAGAAGTGGAAAAAAGAAGAGAAGGTAGCACGCACATGATCCTTAATAGAGGAGGTATTGTGGCGTAGAGGCAAGAGAACAAAGCAGGGTTTTTTTTTCTCTCTTTCATGAGGTAATAGTCGAAGACATTGGGCCTAGCGAGAGAGTGGGCCATAGCACGTTTAAAGTTGCGGAAGACAGCATCCGAACCCGATAGGCTTAACCTGAGCCGAACCATAGTGGCGTAGAAGGCGAAGAGAGTAAACCAAAACCTATAGGGACACGCCTGGTGTCCCGGTGTAAGTGAAAAGGATGTTGCTACAGAAGGTTATGGATACAGGCCAAATACGTAACAGAGAAATCTTTCAGAATCCTTGGAACCGTCGTCCGCTACGATGTAATACAAGGGACTATCAGAGGATAAAATGTGATTTTTATGTTCGAGACTGAACAATAAGTATATACTGAAAAAAGCTTGCATGGGAAGTGGATTTTTACTTGACATCGGACATCAGCCATCTTCAGTATCATGAAGTTAAATTGCTCTTCGAGAATTTACGTCTCCTCTGAGGCTGACAACCAGTGAGAATCGTGTCTGCTGATAATTTGTCTTCTGGGGGAGTCAGATGCTCAACAGTCGTATCCCTGGTAAAGGCCTCATTGGAGTGCTCGGATTGTATTGGAACATGTAGGTCACTAGAAATAGTGGCTGAAGTAAGTGAAGTTTGCGGAGTCTGGTGACCTTCGCCTAGGCCTTGGGAATCAGAGACGGACATTAGCACCCGAGACCTTTTCATTGGAGTCAATGAGTTGGCACGAGTGTTCCATCTATCTGCTTGCGTCTGCTTTCCCGCCGAAGAGGTAGGAGTCACCGGTGGTGTTGTAATGCTGGCGAGATTTGGAATAAAATAAACATCATCCACGCCAATTGCTAGGCGAGGCGTGTTAGTCGTGATGCCGAAAATGCGTCCGTCGATAAATATACGGGACTGCATAGCAAGAATGGGAAAATTGGTCCAACGATTTCCGTTCCTGAAGTAAATGCAAACTGTAAAAGTCACAGACGACTTGCTGGAAATGTCATAGACGGTAGCCTCGAGGTCATAATGCAACAGAGTAGACCCGGTATTCAACTGCCCGCCTCCACCTCGGACTACTCCGAGTAAGCTAACTGAGGGAAGCGCGGCCTCCGGGCAGTGCATATTGTATGCATGAGGATCGGAATAGTCACCAGGATGGCTAAGAAGACCTTCAGCGGCGAGAAAACAAGTGTGGCACTTATGGTACGGTATCTCACCAGTCAACTTCATGGGCGTTTAAAATCAGACGTAAAGAACCGTCCGGATCGACACAAGTTAAGAACGAGCCCCAAGCATAGATGAATTTGTTGGGATCGTAGGATTGAGAATTACCGGGTGAGGCAAAGAAATGTACGGTAGTCGGAAGCCCAGTTAGCTCAACATCGTCCGAGTAAAGATCCGTTTGAAACGGAAGATGTAAGGAAGCCTCGATTTGTAGAGCAAGGCCCTGGCCGGGTCGCGACGGGTCTGGTCCCACACTATTTATGAAGTCCCTCAAGTGAAGAATAGCCGGCGAGTAAACCTGAGCTGGCATAACGACGACAATGACAATCTGAGAGGGAATAAAGACCGAGATAGTGCAAAACCGAAAGGTTGTGAACAGAAGTGGCACTCAACGCAGTCACAGACATAGGATATATATAAGTGTTATGGACATTGAGTGTCAGGACATCAAATTCATACAAGCTTAGCAATGCAGTCAAATAGAAAACATTACAATATTATTTTCAAGCCGTGTGGAAGGATCTTACCCTACGCAGAGAGCAAAGAAGGCCCTAGAAAGTAAAATTACAGAGCGCATCGTCACAACACCAATAATAAGGCCAGAACAGCTTCACTGCAAGAGAGTGATGATGTTGACAATGCTAGGCCAAGAACTTAAACATCGCATCTCATCAAGAATACGAGCCCGACAAGGAGAGGAGCTCTAGCTGCATAGGTCCAGGCATATTTAAAGTTACGGAAGAGCGCAGCCGAATCCGATAAGATTCATTGAGCTCATGGTACGGCAAACACCATCCCCGAAACGAAAATTGCAGCGAAAACCCAACGCTCCGACTGGAGTCGGAGTGAGCAACAAAACCAGAAGAGCTACAAAACACCAACAGAGGTGCAGATTGGACAAAGAACGGGAGACTAGAGTCGTTTCCGGCAGAAGCCTTTGTCCAATGGCACTGAAAGCATCCGTCCAATAACACCGAAGCTCTGCGAGCCAATCATCGCGAACTCGCTCCAATTTCGCACCAAAATTTTGTATGGGATTTGGCAGACATCACGAAACCCCACGATAAATAAAGTTTCAAAAACCTCTGTCACGTGCGGGAGGTTTCCCCTCCTCTCACTTCGTTCGTTTCAGGGCACAGCAAATAGGAGCGAAAAGGAGCAACACTTGGCACGCAAAAACGGACCAATCAGCGCCGCGAAACGTAAGGACCGGCGAGGTGTTGGGTGGTGGGCAAGACAGCAAAGGAGCGCGGGCAGCTCGCGCAGGGTAGTAAACCCCTCCACTCGTTCCTCGTTTCAGGGCATGAGACCGAGGCTTGGCGCGAAATCTGGCAGTGTCTTCTCTCCTTCGCTAGCGACGCGCAGACGCCCGGTTTGTAACCCCTTTCACTACGTTCCTCCGTTTCAGGGCAACCACTCCCTTTACAGGTGCGTAGTCTTAGATGAGACGGGCGTGTCATTTGCGGCGGAAAAAGGACGCCAAACATGACTAGCACTGCCAGGCAAGGGAATCCTTACAACCTCTCGACTTCTTTCTTTTTCACTCCTCACACCACACCCCTTCTTCTCTCTCTTAGTTTTCTTCTTATTTACGTTTCAATTCATAGTCCAGCTTGACGTCATGTCAGATCGTGGCCCCTGCGCAGCTATGTTAATATGTACGCCTGGTTCCATGGCAAACTGCCGTACAATCTTCTCGTGTGGGTAGCTGGTAACTAGTGTTTTGTCGATGAGTAAGTAATATCCTCATGTTAGAAATTGGCTTCCATGTTTTACACAAAGAGACCACGGAGTATCTCAAACCCTAACGTCGAGGTCGTGGTGAAAGTCTAATAGTGTGCCGCTAGCCTGCATATCATGCCTGTATGTAGGAGTGGAATGTAAAATATTTGAGGAGACAAATATGGACCTCCCCATTTGATTACGCGTCTCTCAAACATGCTTCTTCCCACTAGGTCCTATGTCCCTATCCCTCCCAATGCCCAAGTTGTTGCAACTTATACTACCTTGGACCTCCTCCACAGCCGAATACCCACGACGCAGCATGACCCCAAGCCAGTCCCTGCTACTCGAGAGTTCATTCACGATATTATCTTAAGCAGAATACTGACTATATCCGGATCGTAATAGAGCACGATTTTATATTGCTTTTTATATGACAGATACTGTGGCCGTACCCGTAAACGGTATCAAGTTCCCTCCCATTCAGGAGTTACTTTGAATTCTGAAAGTCTCCAATTCATCCCATTTAGGCTGCTTACTACTTTAGGTGTATTCTCCTCTGCCATAACCTCCTCACTTCAACGGCCTCATCCGATCTCCCAGCCACGTCCCATCGGTCTCTCTTCTAGCTTGCATTAGCCAGGAAGCCGGTTTTCCCCTGAACTGAGCAAGTTATTTACTTCCCTCAAACACTTAAAAAATTGAGGAATACTTTGGACAAAGTATTGAGGCAGAAGCACCTCACTGGGCACAACTGGCCTGCAGCGCGAGATTTTAGTTCATTCGACGCGGGACTGATCCTATAGGCTGGCTGGGGATGTGCTGGCATGTATAGTTAATGCCATGTACCTATGTACAGAATCTCCTATGTTTATATAACCATCACCGATCAACACTGAATGTATCATTTGGTATGTTTGTACAACAACTGCTGATCAATGCTAGATAGAGAGATTTTCTTGGATGTTTGTACAACAGATGCAAGCGAGTATAAATATTAGATGTTGCCCCATTGCTTAAAGGCTAACTCCACAAAAGGTTCTACACCCTCTATCTGCGCATTTTATGAATATAATACCATTCGTTGCCACTTAATCCATAAATGGAACCCCAAGTCGGCATCAGTGTATTTGTCTGGAACAAAGAGGGCAAGTTTGTTCTCGGCAAACGACAAGGAAGCACTGGTGCAGGTATGTCTATTATGGGTTAATAGGGTGTCCTTTACATTCATCAAACCGCTATTAAGTATTCGCTCTACAATTCTGGAACCCTCTGACTTCTCGATATCCAAGGCACTTGGGGCCTACCAGGCGGACACCTTGAATTTGGCGAGTCCTTTGAGACCTGCGCAGTGCGCGAGGTTTTCGAAGAAACAGGTCTAGACGTCTACGATCTGAAATTCCTGGCCGTTGTGAACAGCGTCATGCTTGCGGAGAAGAAGCACTACGCCGTTATTTTTCTTGAAGGATACGTCGACGGAAAAAAAGAGGCGATACAACCTTCTGTTAGTACTTGGCGGCAGTTCACTTCCATGATATTGCTCGCTACTGGGAGAATACTAACATTTTGTTGTAAGGTCCGTGAGCCAGACATGTGCGCCGGGTGGGAGTGGGCTTCTTTGGATGAGGTACGATCCTATTATGAGGAGCAGTTAAGGTATGATGGACCGGCGTTCCAGGGACGGAAATTATTTTCGCCGCTTCTAGAGTTATTTCAACAGTGGCCAGATTTTCATGTGTAGCTGAACAGAGCCTAGTGGGAGGAAGGGTGTTTGAGAGACGCTAAGTGTGAAAAGTCCGTATTTGTCTAGTCGGTCCATTACATTCCACTCCTACGAGCAAGCATGAGAAGCAGGCTAGCCATGCATGACCTCAATAGGCTTTCACCACGGCTTTGGCGCTAAGGTTTGAGATAGTTCCTCTGCGTAACATTGAAGCCAATTTGGAACAAGAAATCTAAGATTACCCCTGAGTGGAAGCGTGCTCTCCACGCTCCCCAAATGTCCACACAACGCTAGCCTGTCTCAGGGAGGACGGAAAGCAACAGTATCTCTTAATCACATGATATCTATAAAGGAAGCCTCAGCGGTATTGAACCGCTGAAACCTCAACACTACACCCCATATCCATATCGAGATGTTTTGGTAATACTTCAGCTTTGATGCAGTAAGTTCTGACCCAATCATGTTCACGCAATTCTTTCAGAGTCGTTTTAAGTAATCCGGATCGTATTCTCGCGCTGGAATCAACATATGCTGTGGTGGAAAAACTCCCAGGGCCATGCAAACACGGCAGAGAGCTCTTTAGGCTTGGAGTGCGACCGGGGAAACGACCGTCGATACACACATCGGGGCACGCAGAGCAATTAGCTCAGCAATCACACAGATCCGTACAGGCAAAATAGGCCTCCGGGCCTACCTTCACGCCATCAACAAGGCCGATACTATTATTATTAATCAAGTTTATTGTCCATATCGAGCCCTAAAGCTATGACAGACCGTGAGTCTGAGACAGGGACGGCTTTCAGCCGTCTGCTCCTATGAGTTCCTGGGCGTGAGCCCCATTAAATACTGTCAGGTCCTTTTACTCGTCCCAATTCGCTTGTTTGCGCAGGACATTTGAGCCATCCTGGCTCTCCTCGGTGTCTCAAGCCATTCGGGTGTCTCCCAGGCTGAGTGCCTAGGCTACCCTTCTTGCTATCCTTCCCCCGTCCTCTCAGCTTCTTCCAAGTCCTCCAATCCCCACTCATCATCTCGTCGTGCTCGCTCGGCCAGGGCCTGGTGGTGGTGCCGGGGCAGAGCTGCCTTCGTTGTTGACAGAAATCGTAAGATGGCGGCTGTCGCCTTCGGTTCCCCCAATAGCCTACCCTCTGGACATTCTTCCGCCGCAGAGGGTCTGGCCACCCCAACTCGATCCAGCGCTCGGTAGAGCTGGGCCCGCTGGTGCTGCTATTCCCGACACTCAAAGAGAACGTGGTGTACTGTCTCTGCTGGTGCATCGCCTTTCTCACACGCTGGGCTGTCCCGCGCGTGAATCCGGTGGAGGTGAGCCCCGATAGCAGCATGGCCGCTCTTCAACTGGAAGAAGCGAGTGGCCAGCGGTTTAGAGCTGGCGAGGCGACTGGCCGCGAGCTTTGCCGCTTCATCGGCTTTCTCATTTCCCTCAATTCCGGCGTGGCCAGGCACCCATTGAACTATGGGTTCTCGGCCTCCCTCTTGGAGAGCTCTGGCTACTGCATGAGCTCGAAGCGTCAGTTCCTGACCGGGACCTGCTTGTGTGTGTCGCAGCCTCGCAATCGCGGCTTGGGAATCCAGCAGAATTGTGATCGGGACGCTGTCATCCATTTTCAGTGCGGCCTGAAGGGCCTGGACAACACCCACAAGCTCCGCATCGAAGACCTCCCGCCCTTTTCCGAGGGGGAAGCTCCGGGCCCTCCACTCTCCGCAAGGCTCCTGCCAGGCGATCCCGGCTCCGCTTCGGCCGTTTTCAAGCCTTGATCCATCTGACCAGATCGCACTGCCTGGTTGTATTGTCCGCGCCGCAGTGAGAGCGTCATCCGTTGCCTGGACGATAATCTGCCCTGGAAAGCCGCTGCCATCGCCACGCCCAGCGCTCTCTAAACCTGCAGAGGGATCGGCTGGGAGGATATTGGCTAGTTGTCGAGCTAGGTGCTGTCCTAACGACCATGGTCCCCGGCTGTGCGGTTCGGCCCAGAGTCGATTTCCAGGTGTTGTGATACCAGGCATTTGCTGCTCAGGAATGAAGCCGCAACATCGGAAATAATTCCTGCTCTATGTATAGGAAGAACCAAGTTGATTGGAAATCAACTTGGACTTCATGTTGTATATATAGCCTCATGTATTCTCTCAAGAAGAACAATAAACAAGCTTCCTTTTGCAAGACAACAGGTTATGAGCCCGAGTGCAGTCACTCGGGTGCCGTCTCTACTCACACCGAGACCCATTTATCTCTTTGATTTGTGATTATATATTACCCCGCTTTCTCAAACATCATGTCGGCTCTTGCCCAGGACTCTCCTGACCGATCCGTCATGGCCATTGAGCCTCTGACAGGAAGCGATAACTTCGCAACCTGGAAACGTCTCATGACCTCCTACCTGAAAGCAAGGCAGGTCTGGGACGTCGTGTCGGGCGATCTCCAGCGTCCTGATTGCCAGTTCAAATATGCCAAGCCAATCACGGCGGACATTAGTCCGCTTGTGGAGCCCCACCTCAATGGAGCCGTGAGGCAGCGAGCAATTGAAACCCGCCTCGAAGTGGAGGTCCAAGCTTTCGAGCGCCATAAGGAATGGTCGCGACGTGAAGCCGATGCCTACCACATCATCTTGCGATATCTGTCACCTAATGTTAGCATCCATGTCGCGGGGCTGGAGACGTCCCGCGACCTGTGGAATGAACTCGAAGAACGGTACCGGCGCATGGAACTCGCCACGTTTTGCGAACTATTCGCTCAGCTTCGCGAAACGACAGGCGATAGTTGCGCCAGCGCGCGTGAATTTGTCGACCGCGTGCGACTGTTGGTTCATCGATTGAATGCCATCGCCCGAGGATCCATTGGCGATCGGACGCACATTGCGATCTTGTTGACGCAGATCGGACCGGAGTATATCCTGATTGTGGATGCTATCTAGAATGACAAGGATCTAGTCGATCCGACCACGGTCGGAAACCGTCTGGCTAATGCCGAACAGACAGTGCGGGGGAAGAACTCTCCCACACCACCACAAAGGGGGCCGGGAGCATCGATCAATACGATCCAAACCAACACACGAAAGTGCTCCCATTGCAAGAAGCGAGGCTATGTGCCTGCGAAGTGTTGGAAGAAACACCCTGAATTGCGTCCGCAGAAGGACCATGCCGACAAAGCAGAACGAAGTACTTCCGGCTCACCAAGAAACACTATATCATCAAGCCAGGAGGAAGAACGGCAGGGCCCGCCGACTTCTAAGAGACCGAGGATCAATATCGTAAGGGCGGGGGTGACGACCCTTTATACCCACGCACCGCAACCCCGGTGGATCCTAGACTCGGCCGCCACTAGCCACATCTGCTAGGACCGAAGCTGCTTTAGTAGCCTGCGGCCCCACCGTGAGATACTGGACACGGCGGGCGATCTAGTAGAAGCCGAAGGGATTGGTACAGTGAAGCTCACGCTCCGGGGGAAGTTCAACCACCCCCTAGTGTTAAAGAATGTTTACTTCGCGCCACGCATCGGGATGAACCTGATTAGCGTGCCGAAATTACTACGAGACCGCTACTCGGTAGTAGCGCACCCGCAGAACGTCTTTATGCAACGCCGAGGACGGACCGTAGGAACTGCCTACTATACAGAGGAGGATCTGTTGATCTTGCGGTGCTATATAAGCCAAAGATCCCGAGAACGAGTCTAACTAGCGAGGGCGCCGGCGGACCGTGTCTATACAGATTCCCTAGAACCGCAGGCGGTGGACATAGACGTCGACGACCCTCTAGAGTTAAGTGGTGCGCAAGGCGCGGCGACCACCTCTGAACTCGGTGGTGAAGCTCGGATACTCGAAGAAGATATAAGTAAAGGAGTAGACCAGGCTACCGAAGCGCTATAGTACGCTCGGATAGGACATCTGAATCGGGGAGACTTAAGGGTGGTCCTCCGTCAGACTAGCACTCCGTACCGACTGCTGACTCGGGCAGAACTATTAGCAACGCCGCAGTGTCCGGCGTGCATATCGGGTAAGTAGCATCAGAAGAGGAACTCCCGTACAAGACGGCCACGTCTGCACTCGACGAGAATATTTGAAATAGTCCATTCGGACATCATAGAGATGCCGATTAGGAAAGATAGCTCTAGGTACGTTATCACATTTACTAACGATTTTTCTCGTAGCTCGTAGGCCTACGCTATAAGATAGAAACATAAAGCGCTGTCTAAGTTCCGACAATTCGAGGCCTAGGTGTAGCGACAGTTCGACGCCCGGATCAAAAGATTCCTTACCGACAACAGAAGAGAATACTTGCCTATCGGAATATACCTCGAGTCCTAGGGAGTTAAGTTTGATACCTCGCCGCCGTATTGCAAGGGGCAGAACGGACTAGCTAAGCGCACGAATCGCACTATCCGGGAGCGGATCAATACGCTCCTGTCCGATACGAAGCTTCCTCCTTCCTAGTAGCCCGAGCTCTTAGAGACGGTAGTTTATCTGAAGCTGCGCGCGCTAGCGTCAATTCTGCAGAAGAAAACACTGTTTGAAGTACTATACGGGAAGCCGCCTACGCTGTCGCACTTACGACGGATCGGCTCCTGTGTATAGGTACTAATTCCAAAAGAGCATCGCGCTAAACTCGGACTAAGATCGTCTGAATGCCGACTGCTCGGTTACTACGAACCTAATTAGTACAGGCTTTACGAAGTACACTCTGGAAAGACAGTCTTTTCCCGTGATGTCGAGTTCGATAAACGGACCCCTATAGCGCCGCTTATCGAGGGGGAAACAGGCAACGACCTCCCGGACAACGCTCCTCTATCACCTATCTTTGCTAAACTAATACTACCTGTATCTGACGCACTGCCTACGCCGCCTCTGTCTCCTCTGTCTCCTGATGATCTAGAGAACGTGCCCTGTAAGCCGGTTGATAATGCACCTTCTGAACCAGTTGATATTCCTTTACCGGTCAATCCAATCCCTCGCGAAACACAAGCTATACCCGACCTTGGCTATTCCTTGTATAGCCGAAGACGAAGACCTTCCAAACGTCTCTTAGAGTCGTTAGGTAAGGTGTATACGACGGGGATATTGAATACAACCGCCGCAAAAGACGTTGATCCCTTGACCTTCTACGAAGCTGTGTCGGGACTTAATCAGCTGGAATAGTGGGCTGCGATCTAGAAAGAATACGCTTCTCTTCTTGAGTATAGTATATAGGAGAAGGTTCTACGAAATGAAGTTCCCCCCGGGGATCGGATTATTGGCTGTAAGTGGGTATTTAAGACGAAGGCTAATGGAATTCGGAAAGCGCGACTGGTGATCAAAGGCTACCGACAGAAATATAGCATCGACTATCACGAAACCTTCGCGGCTGTGTCCCGAATAGATTTAGTCCGCAGCATCGTTGCGAGTGCTGTGCTGCGTGGATAGAAACTCCACCAATTCGATGCCGTCACTGCCTTCCTCTACGGTGATATCGACTCGTTAATCTATATAGAGCTGCCAGAGGGCTTTGAGGAAGACGGGTACGTTTACTGCCTTCGACGCTCCTTATACGGATTAAAGCAGGCACCACGGATTTGGTACTAATACGTCCACCGTGTCCTAGTGGCTCACGGCTTTACCATAGCCCAGTCCGACAATTGTGTTTTCTATAAGCCTAACTGTGTCGTCTGCGTGTACGTCGATGACTTTCTGGTCGTAGCAGCGGACAACGCCGAGATCTAGCAACTTCGAGTAGCCCTAGAATCGGAGTTCAAGCTAAACGATCTGGGAACCCCGCGTTCATTCCTAGGAATTCAGTTTAACTTCCACGCGGACGGATCTATTTCGATTCACTAACATTAATACATCTAAAAGGTGCTTTCCGACTTTTACATAGAGACCTGTCAACCGAAGTCTACACCGATAGCTCTAAAAGTTCTCCTGAATAACGTTTCCGACGGGAGCGACCTAGATAAAGATACGAAGGCTCGGTTCGGGACCGCAATCGGGTCACTAATGTATCTTATAGTCGGTACGCGCCCTGACATCGCGTTTGCGCTTAAGACCTTAAGTCGCTTTACATCCCGACCGCAGTCGCATTATCAGGCCGCACTGCAGAGACTGTTACGCTATATCAAGGCTACGCAATTCTATCGCATCACATACCGCAGCGGGCAGTTAATCGGATACACCGATGCCGACTTTAGTGGCTCGGTCGTTACTAATAGTGCATTCTCCACGTCCGGCTATGTGTTCAAACTTGCGGGAGCGCCAGTTTCCTAGTCATCCAAAAGACAGGGGGAAGTAGCGACGTCCACGACTCACGCCGAGTACATTGGCCAATACAATGCTATTCTTCACCTGCAATAGCTCCGCACATTCCTGGCGGAAACCCATCTGTTTCGATCACCGGTGACCAACATCATAGCCGACAATCAATCTGCTATTGCTCTCTCCCGCAATCCTGAGTTTCACAAACGGACGAAGCATTTCAACGTGAAGTTCCATTACCAGCGAGCCGTTCTGAATTCAGGAGAAATTAATCTCGAATACATTCCAACCGAAGAACAGGCAGCTGATGGACTCACGAAACCTCTGGGACCCTCTCCATTCGCCAAGTTTTGCAACCTGTTAGGAATTGACATTGAAGAACACATGAAGGAAAGGGTGTAACCGCGATGGCGCTCTTTCCACTATTTCTCCTCTTCGAGGTTTTGAATGGTTTTACCAAGGCCTGACCGATGTGCATGTATTCAGTATCGCCTCGCTAGCAAGGTGATCCTGAGGGGGAATATTGTGATGTGAGGCTGTTGCTGCTCAGGAATGAAGCCGCAACATCGGAAATAATTCCTGCTCTATGTATAGGAAGAACCAAGTTGATTGGAAATCAACTTGGACTTCATGTTGTATATATAGCCTCATGTATTCCCTCAAGAAGAAGAATCAAGCTTCCTTTTGCATGACAACAGTGTCGTACCTTAATATTGGCGGTGCACAGTCTGGTGATACTATGGACCTTGAAGGCCTTAATTCCAGGAGGTTTCAGAGCTAGCATGGACTGAAGGTAACTCTCCAGTTCCGCTACAGCCGTGGACATTGGGCCTGTGCGAATTGCCTCCAGCGGCGTGGTCAAACCAGCCGCGACTCAAGAGCAAGGACCCGGTGTGTGTATGCTATGAATATGTGGTGCCGTACGAAACTCCAAAGGTAGTCTGCAGCGATCTAAAAGAATCCTGTAGAAGACGCCCAGAACTTCGTGGCTACTGCGATGCGAGCAGGTGGCAATTCAATTGTCCAACAGAAAGACAATTATGAAGGCCTTCAAGATTTTAGGGGCTTGGGTCCCGATGGGATCCGGCACCTCAGCGGCACCAAAGATTAGTCAGAACTCTTTGGGTCCCGTTGAACTTTTGGGCCCCGCTGCTGGAACCCGACGCCGTCAGTTAACCAGTTCGTTAACTAGTTAGGCGAGAATTACAGTGACTAACTACTCTGTACTCATACTCTAGTTACCTGCTCCAAAGGCCTGGAGGCAGCGATGGAGCTTAGTCGACTTCGCGGCCTCTCCCCAGCAACAGCACGTCAGCTGGGTGGCTCTGGTAGTAGACTACGCCTCTAGCGTCTGGATGCACGCTTGCAAGGATAAGCCCATCGGGCCGATCAACCGAGTCCAAAGGGTGAGAGCGCAAGCAATTGTAGGGACATTTCTCACAGTTGCGACAGGCGTAACGGAGGCTCACATTGCCACTTCACGTACACCGCTTTTGGAGACGGGCCGTGAAAATGTGGACGGACATTCACGCCCTTCCAGGAACCAATCCGCTCCGCAGGAGTACACCATGGATCAAGAAATTCAGGAGATACCACCATTCACCGCTGTACCAGGTAGCGGACGCGCTGAAAAGCATTGAGATAGAGACACTAGAAACCATCAATCCGTTTACATTAGCACCATGGGAGACACGCATGCAGACCGATGTTGAAGCAATGCCGGACTCACAGACTGTACCGGGCGGATCAATGCAAGTCGTGGTCCGCAGCTCCGCACGAAACGGGCTCGTAGGATTTGCAGTGGCGATCGAAAAACAGCCACCTCAGTATCGAAAACTGAAGCTGAAGACCTTCTCCGTGACATTGGGCACAAGATCAGAGCAAAATCCGTTCTTCGCGGAGCTAGCAGCAATGGCACATACATTGAACATGCAAGTGGGATTGAAAGATTACAGGATCATGCTGCTCACGAGCAACAAAGCGGCGGCCCTCACCATAAGGAACCCTCGACAACAATCAGGCTAGGAGTTCGTCAGCCAAACGTACAAGTTGATCAAAAGACTGCGGAGAAACGGAAACCACACACAATATTCTTTGGGACCCTACCAGCAAGGACAATAAACTGCTAGGGCTGGCCAAAGAGCAGGCCAGAACCGCGATCCACAAGGATGCTGCCCACAAGAATCGGTCCCCAGGATGAAATCGACAACACTGAATGTCGCTCAGTCCCGAGCAGTTGCCAGCAAAGCCCTGCCAGAGAACGTCGGGAAACACGTGAAACGAGTGGACACAGCACACCCTGGAAAACACACCCGGCAGCTATATGACCGGTTATCATAGAAAGAGCGAGAACGTTAGCTCAACTACGGACTGGCATGGCAAGACTAAATGGGTATCTCTTTCGAATCAACGTCATGCGGACGGATCAATGTGCGTGTGGACAAGCAAGAGAAACCGTGGAGCACTTCCTCTTCCGATGTCAGAAGTGGACCACACAACGGGACCACACAACGGACAGCACTGCTCTAGTGTATGAATATTCACCGGGGAAATCTCTCCTTCTTCCTAAGCGGGAAATCGCCTTCCGATGATAACGGATGGACACCGAATTTGGAAGCAGTGCGAGCCTCAGTATGATTCGCAATCGCCACGGGCCGACTCGATGTTGCCTAGCTACGCCGACCAACACAATGACACCCTCCCCCTAACTAACCTACACCAACCCCCTTGTGCCAGAGATGATAGACGTGCTTCAACTGGCGAGGGCAGGATGTTGAAGACTTGAAGAAGCGCCTTCAAGCCAGTCTACTAACAAAATTACTAACCCACAGGGATCCCTATGATATTGACAGCTGAGAGGACATATACTGCAAGGATCCATGCATGGGCTTGAAGGAGATACGGCACATGTATATTAGGACAGGTATTGGTAGATCAGTTTTAGTTGCCCTTTTGGCTTACAGTCGATTTCGAAAACAGATTACCCCTTGGACACACTGACTTTGTTTCTCGGCCCGTACCGGAGTATACGCTAAGCCTGATTTGGTTACGCTGGAACGGTCGCTACTCGGTTGTATCACGTATTGAAATGTATTTGGTTTCGAGGTCGCTGTAAAATACTGGAAATCTGTAGAGAACATTCTAGGCAGGGGCCCCAAGGGGGGAGGGGTCATTGCCCTGGCGACCTGGCTTAATCCAAGCTCGCCAACCTGCCTTCTGGCCTTTTCATCCACACAGCCTTTGTCTTTATCTTCATTTGCATCTTCTATGACAAAGGCTGTGCTATTGTTGTAGAGGACTAACCCTGGTAGGCCAATATGGTTCTCATTTGTGTTGCCCATGGTTCCTGCTTTCTACTGCCGCTTCTATTCGTTGCTGACGTGTGGAACCTCCCGTGTAAGCTGACGCAGATCTCGAGGACTTCGATCGCGTGTAAATATGAGCGATAGCCCATATTACGCTGACTATACCTCTCAGCACCAAGAGCTCGAACCATGGGAACAAGATTCTCAATATTCCCCTCCTACGCCAGGACACTTCCGGAGCCCTTATACTACACGGTCCAACTATAGTCCCTCCCCATCCACCTTCCTCGACGATCAATCCAGTCCCGCAAGCCGACGTCTACCAAATGCTTTACCACTGCTCCGGGAATCTGAGTGGGAGGAGGACAAGATCTACGATGAGGATCCACCTAGCTGTATACACTACTTCATAGAATGGCGGGTCACCGTCAACAATAAGGCCGTGGTGAAGGACACGGAAGAAGACCTAGTTTTGGCCCCAAGCGCTTACTGGCAGCGATTTCTGGAAAAGAAGCTGCTAACTGTCCTTGGACAGAAGGTCTCTCGCAACAAAAGGGTCAGGGCTGATGACACTGCGATTGTTGTGTCAGTCAATGACCGTTCTCAGCGTGATCTGACCAAGCGTTTCAACAAGACCGACATTGTTTGGACTGCCATCGAGAAACAGCTCCGGATGTGGTCGAGTCACTTCTGTCGGGGCAAGAGACTCACGCTGAGGATCTCTTTCAACTACGTAGAGGATGACACTTCTCCATCCGCTGGACGGAACGGGGAGAAGAGAGGTAAATCTTCTGTCACAAAAAGGATGCTTGGTGATCGCGATGCCCAGCTAGATGCTGAAGAAAATGCATGCGGTGAGCACCCAATTTGGCGACGCGTGTATGCCCTGATGAAATGTGATTCAAGTGCATGCCATTTGGGCCCCTACTGTTGGCTGGATCCAGTAGGGAAAAAGCATTATCGACTCCGCACTCAAACCCTCAGAAGATTGGTTACCTACGCCGAGAAAGGTGGTGTCCTGGAGTCGCACAAAGATGTTCCTGATGAGATCCAAGAAGAGTTATACATGGAGGAGCAGCAGAGGCTGGAGAAAGAAAAGCGCAAAGGGGGTAACATTGCCGGGCCTGGAACGCCGTATCCACCTATCAACATCAATGTTCTCCCGTCCCACCCTGCTGGGGTTGACATAACGGCTCCGACTGTTGGCTCAGCTGAGTCAAAGGATGTGAGCCCATTGAAAATTCCCGGATTCAGAGACGTTGCTGTCAAAGAATACGGTGAGTGGCTTGCATCGAATGTTTCTGATGAAACCCTCAAAGCTGCATTTCGACAAGCGTCCGACGTAACGCTATCAGATGGCTTTGACCTTGAGCACATCTACAAGGATCAAAACCCAGAATTCTTCGTCGGTAAGGGGATCAAACCCGGAATTGCCCGAAGTTTTGTAGAAAATATCCGCGACTGGGTGGAGAACGTGAAGAAGGCAGTACCCGTTCTTGAAGTGGTGTAGAAATTGCGTTAGCGTTGGTTGCAGCTCTTTGGCGTTGTTTTGGTTTGACTTGGCTTGACTTGGATGCATTTGTTAATATAGACAGCAGAGCAGGACGTTGCTCTATGATAATTTCAGTGTGCGCTATGTTTTGGGATTCGATTTGGCGTTCGGACACCGTAACCCGCAGTCTTTTTGCTGTTCACACGTTTTGCTGTTCCATCCCAGACGCTCGTAAGTCAGCTTGTGTTTTGGCCCAACGGGTCTGTCTTTCGAAGATGTCCCTTTCGTCGCCTTTCAAATGTGCGAGACCACGTTTTCTTAGCTCTGAGAAGAACCCAAAGGCAGCGTCGAACGTTTCAGGACTTGTCCAGCCATCCCTTTTGACAAGACCTTCAATACTGTCAAAAAAGTCCTGAACCTCATTCCATCCATCGGCATCAACTGAGTGGTTATGTAGTTCAGCCTGCGTGAAGCGATAGGGGCAATCGCCTTGGATGCCAAGTTCATGCCAATACCTAAATAGAAATTGAACACTGGACAGGAAACGGAGAGGCATCGAGCAACATACCTTTCAACATTAATGAGTGCCTCACGAAAGGAGACTATGTCATCATCCCACGTATTTCCGGCCAGTTCAACCGGAAGGCGCCTCGTCTTCCCATGGTCTAGATGGAATGTTCTAGTAAGCAGCGGGGTCCGTTTCTCAGTTTCCAACAAATAGAGCTGGAATAGCGTTGATTTGAATATTTTTTGTTTGATCTGAGTTTGACGCTCAGAATCGAAATCATCAAAATTTTCCGGCCGTCGAAGTAGAATATCACCTTGGTAGTCCACAAGCGGGGATGGCTGAGCTTGAAGGAAGAGTGGGCCCGCCCACGACCCTTGCCAATCAATAACGGAGGCTATACGGCCATCATCCACAAATAAATTAGAGGAGTGAAGGTCGCTATGCCATAATGTCGGGCGAGTGAGGATGGGCTCAATGTCCATAAGGGAAGGAGCCACTTTGAGATACTTCTCTAGCAGCTGCAGATGTGCTTCTGGACTGTTTTGGGCCGGTGACACCAACGTAGCGTCGCTCGGTGGTTTTGGAACGGCGTAATTTTTGATCCACTCCATTTCACGCTGGCCAACACATAATGCATAATCACTGGGAGTTGACCCTAGTCACAATTAGCCAGTCGAATGATTATATGGCCGTATGGCGATGCTTACAGGGACCCCTGGAGATGTCCATTGAAGCACGCTCCCTCTTCCAAAAGCCCCTGTCAACAGTAGGCCCAATACTGAACGTCTTGTATATATGCTCTTTGAGTTCTGATGGAGCCTCGTTGGTGAGTTTGGCTGGGACTGCACCTTCAACTGCATCACTCGCAAAATATATGCTGCCATAGCTGACGAGAAACAGATCAGATTTTGCACATCAGGCTGAATGTGAAAGTAAACATACTGTGAAAATGACACCGAGAGCATCTTTGACTCGATAGCCACCACTTCTCTCATAATAGAGAGTTTTGAATCCGGACTCAGCTCATCCCAAATCATTCCAAGCTGCGTGCCAGTTGCCTCTTCCATAAAGATATATTCCGAACCAGCCGGGTTATCAGTTGTGGCGTCCCAACCTAATACTCGCGGTACGGGAATTTGGAGGAAATCTCGAGCCTTGTAAATGGGTTAGCAAGCCGTCCCTTGCGCTTGACCGTGGCAAGCTTAACTCACGAACTCCATTGTAGCAACTTCAGATGCAGTCGTATAAAACGAGGGACCGGCATTTGGGTTTGGAATACGGGCAAGCACTGATTTTCCGTCATCCATAACCAACCGGAAGACCTTGTTAAATCCTCCCTCTGCCAACTTCGTCATTGAGACGCAGCCGCCTGAGCCAACGGCCCTGGCCGCTAAGCCTTGGAGCCCAGCAACATTGAAGGCCCGATACCTATCCCGAAGCTGCTGTTCTTCATCCCAGAGCCATCGCCCACTTGTATAACGAAAAAAGTGCTCAAAGTCGGGGCTGGCTGCTGGCATTTGCTTGGAGAGAGTCTTTATCGTGCGAATAGCGAGGCTTTTGCGACCGGGAGGAAGCGTAGTGGTCGTTAAGAATGAACGTGAAGATGGAAGGGCTGGCGTTCGTAACTGATTATCTTGAGCGGCACGAGATCTCAGCTTGCAGAAACTCGAAAGAAAACGACGTCCGACACCGGCTTTCATCGCTGATCGTTGGTTGTGAGTGGTGATCGGACCAGTGGCGGTTCGGAGAGAGGGTGAAAGTTCTCTCGGATCCTTGGCGCTTAATAAGAGAAATCACCAGGCCCCAAACAAAGTTAACGCGCGAGCAACGCAACTAATCACCAAAAGTTCCCCCAAGACAACAACCATAGTTATATGAATACCTAATTATGAAGTTCAAGACTTTTTCGTGGTGAAAGTGTCGATTTGGCCCCTTACACAATTACTTCTTCTATATTGCAGGTGAGACTTTCAACGGTTATCAATTATTTGCGGGCTGAGGAAGAGTGTAGGGCCAGTTGTCATCAACTGAGGGGCGGCGCTGAGCTTTGTGATCTCAGAAAGTGGAACTCCTAACCGATTCATGGAAGCTTCTACCAGTCCAGTGATCACAGTCTCCGGTCGTCCATATGGGCCCATAGTTAATTGAGGTTTGTTTATTAACCACCTACGGAGTCATGTCTGAGGCTAAAATTCCCTACCTGGTAATCGCCCTAGTGCTAATCATCTGCATATCGTGATTTTTCCTCTGGTATTTTGTAGTATTCTTTGCACCTGGATCATGAGCGGTAAATTCAGTGCGTTTATTGGCTCAAGGTGTGACCACATTTCTCTCAAGCGCTCGAGCTGCAAGTACGTAACACCGAAGGTACAAATCATTCTATAATTGTTTCAGCATATTCTAAGCGCCCATATTGTCCTCGGCGCCTTGGACTTGGATATATTAAGAGTGTTGGGGGCTTTCGTAGGAGACATTTAGGACAACAGAATTCTTTTAAAACCTTCTACTTCCAGTGCCAAATCACAAGGTAAGGTACATCGGGCAACATCAGGTTGACATGAAGACTGATATCGAATAGATGCCAATATCCATTAAAACTGTTCGTGCATTCACTGATGGTATTCCGTGGGCGAAGATATTCAAGAAAGCCGAGAACACGACCAAAGGACAGCGACTTTATCCGTCCCAAAGCCATGATAAGAAGAAAAACTTTCGACTGGATAAAGGCGCTACTATCAGCGACAATCAACAGGAGATCATTCTTCAAGCGAACAAGGATGCCGAGAATGCAGAGGTGAAGAAAGAGGCCCAGAAGAACAGTCATAGGATCCTGGCAAAATGCGTCATCGATCCGAATAACGTGGATGCAGAAAAGGCAAAGACGGACCTGGAAGCTTCCTTCAAGGAGAACAACTGATACGCAATCCCATCCCGAGGAAACGTCTAGCACGGCGTCGAGTGTGGGCATATACTTGACAAAGGCTCAAAGTGATATGCGGTTCCTGGTGGGCTCAGAATGCAGGGTGCATCGTTTTATATTATGGACAGTCAGGGGACTCTCGATCATGTAAATCTTCAATGCTCAGACCTGAGTGCCGAAAATGGCCCCTGGCACTTTCTTCTCTTGCCCCAACCTGATTAATACACCATTCGAGGAAGGTGCTGAATCCCTGAGTGGGATCTTCTGCGTAGTAGCTCCAGTTACGTTTTATGAATCCTTTCAGCTCAGCAAAGAACTCTTCAATTGGATTCAGGTCTGGTGAGTATGGAGGCAAGTAGACCAATTTTACTCCCGCATCGGCGCACATCTGTGAAATCCGCTCGGAGTGGTGGAATGATGCATTATCCATGACCAGGACAGACTTCGGCTCCGGCCATCTTCCACAATGGTGAAGAAGCTCTTCGATGAAGTCCTCAAACACGGAGGCATCGGTTGAGCCACGAAAGACGCGAGACAACACGATACCATCTTGAGAGTACGCAGGCAGAATTTGATACCTCTCGTCGCGGTGGAACTGTGCCACTTGTTTTGGTGCTACACCGAGCGGTGACCAGCCTGTCCGTCGGAACCCAATCCGCTTATCACATCCAGATTCATCAACATAAACAAGGTGATACGACTCAAAGTCAGAGAGGTTATGAAGATATGTCTCTCGCAATTCCACGTTCTGCTCTTTAGCCTTTCGCTGAGAATTTTTTCTAGACCAGCCTGTGGATATAAGGGCTCTCCTAATACTAGAGGTTGTTGCTAGCATCTGGAATTCATCCCACAGGAATATAGCCATCTCGTCGAGGTATAGACTAGGTTTTTCGAGCAGATGATCGCAGAGCGCTTCTAGCATCAGTGGTGTCACGCTTCGTCTTCGGCCAATATGGTTTGAGGGGGCATGGACGCTTCCGAACAGTCGCAAGTTCCTGCGAATATTTTTGATCGTCTGTTCACTGCATTCAGCTGCTTCAGCTATTTGAGACCTAGTTAGTGATTGGGCTTGTATCATATCACGAATAAAGTGTAGCCTTGAGGAGGGTAGTCTCGGTGCCATAGAGCGCGTATGATTCTAGCAAATCTGGAGATAAGAGGTCTTTGCGGACTGAGAGATGCCAGGGTAGGAATGAAAATGGCATGGAGGGGCGCGCGCCAAGGTAGTAGTGTATAGGCAATACATGTAATATACAATATTTTACGTTATTACGTCGTTCTAGTTTTTCAATGGGTCTATTCTTAGGAAATAATTATTTACAGCTTTTCCTGATACAGACTAGTGCATACTCGGGTACGAGCCGAGAAACAAAGTCAGTGTGTCCAAGGGGTAAACTGTTTTCGAATTCGACTGTAGCCGCCGGGCGGTTAATGAATTGTGTGTGTGGATTATCTACGAATCACGCAGCGACGCTTTGTTTGTAGATAAGTTAAAGCACATAGTAAAAGGTGAACTAAATAATAGCTTGATCGCCTTTGGATAGTACTTTAAATAAGATTAAGTCCTCCTTCCACTTGATTGAGGTAGTCTGAATAAAGCCGAACAGAAGCAAAAGCCGGCGATGAATGTTGAATGCACCGCGCTTCACGAAAGACGTATCTCGATGACCGCTGCCTTTACGTCTCCAAAATATCTGGTTCAGTTTCATCTTCGAACCACCGTTCACCAAGACACGTCAGTACGTTGCCCTTAATTACAGAACGAACATACAGCTACTCACGCCACTTTGAGATCACCGTCAGATATGTGCAGCATAAACTTGCATGGGGAATGAACGCAATTTTTACCGAAAGGGCAGTGATGGCTTAGGTAACAGTCATAATCAGTGCAGTCAGCAAAATTGGGACACTGGCCCTGCCTTGCTTTGTACTTCTGTATGACAATCTCCCTAGGGCTTAACTCCTTCTCGTGAACCATTTTGCATTTGAATCGGTTGCAGCGTCCCAGAAGATAATGTTCATTGCAGAATCCTCTGGGTGCAATCTCATACAATTTCTTGTGATAGGAATCCAGGGCAGCTGCGTCAGTGGAGGTCCGGATCGGAGGATCTAATCGTTGGTCGTATTTATTGTATTCGATAACTTTCTTTTCTTTGGCTTGGCGTCCTTTGATTGTGATATTCTGGGGATGTCTGGAGCCTCCAATTTTCGCATATGACGATGGGTATCTCACAGAGACTCCACCATTTCCCGAAACAGTAACAACCGAATCCATCCTTAATCCCTGGGTCAAAGACATTTCAGTTAAAGGACTGGTGGAAGCTGTATTCTGAGACGAATTTCCCTGAGAGGTTGTATCTGAATCCGGAAACGAGGATCTGACGTTTATTTCATTGTCGGGAGTTATTGAGGGCCTCTGGAAGCTAGAGCGAGTAGGCACCTGTTCACTTGGAAGGTGCTCACAACGGAACACGTTATCAAAGCTGATGATGTCAAACCCGAGGGACCTAAATTTTTCCCCTGCAGGAGTTGTCTCCACGAGTACAATCCGCTTTTCTTCCTCACTGCCCCCGAGAAAATCACGCAGTTGGTGTAAATAGCCATTATCATGGCAAGCAGCAAAAAAAATCTTCTTGCACTGGATATTTCGATAGAAGTGATTAAGCATTCCTAAAGAAATATGAGCCGAGTAAACAAATAGATGCTTTGTTGAAGTCTCACTGTTCATCTTAGAATCGGCGTTTTCTTTGCCCGGGCCAACATTAATAAACTCGTACTCAGGGCGACTATTGGTGAAATGCTCTGCAAAGCGATGTAAATCTTCTTCGAGCGCTATCACTTTGTTACTGTGCATTGATGGCAAGTGAGATCCTGTTGGCTTAATATAACAAATTTTTGTCCTTTTGCATCCTATCCCAGATACAGTCCGCCGGATGGGGTACATTGGCCATGTAAATATACTTAATCACAATGTTCAACTATAATCAGTGAAGAGCAAATCCAACACAGGGCAGCTAGTAGGCCACTTAACTCTTCTTTTCTTTTTCTTTCCAACTCGCATATGAGCGAATGCACCTAAAAGCTACTACAAGAAATCAATCATTCGAAGCCCACACTGAACTAAATTGACTTCAGCCAAGGATCCGCTAGCAACTCTTTCGCAGATGCTCGATTTTCCGGTTTCCACTGAAGCATCTTCCGCATGAAGCAGAGAAATAAACTTTGTTGTGTATCTCGCAAATTGCCTTCTAGCTTCTCCAGAGATATAGAAGGAATTTCGGCGGTACCTATCCAATTGCCTGAGTATGAACCATCAGTTGCGCCTACACAGTGTAAAAGGAAGAAAAAGGATATATATGATCGTACCGTCGTGATCGAAGAACTTCATCGCATACTCGCTATTTTGAAGCATTTCTTTTGGTGGCGCGCCCATGATTGCTATCATCCCAGCGAGGTGGTGGCTGTCTGAAATGTTCCTGTTTGAATCGCGGGCGTACAAGAGATGCTTCTGCTCAAAAAGATCCCAGGCCTATAGGAATAGTTAGTTTTTGGCAGAACGAGACTTGTGATATATACATACAAGGACCCCTATGTTCCAAATATCAATCTTTTCATTCCATGGCATCCGCAATAGAACCTCTGGAGCCCGGTAAACTAAAGGTTGGACATCCTCCCATTGTTTCCCTAAACTCGAGCTAAAGCGAGCCTCCCCGAAGTCCGACAAAATAGGACGGCCATGCACCTTTGGGATCCCTAGGTCTCGGGAGGAATAGATCACCCGATCTCCAACAATTTTGCGAGGGCTGGGGCTGGATCTCTCTGCTTCCTCAAAATCGACGAGAATTGACTCATCCTCCACACTAAGCATGACATTATTTTCTTGTATATCTGAAATTAGGTCAATAAGAAATTCCAGAAATGTGCGCTGTTTCACAATAATAGGAATATTATACCAGTATGAACAATCTTGGCTTCTGTGTGAAGAAAGTCGAGAGCAAGAAGTATATGGATCAAAGTTGGCTTGAGTATATCTTCCGGCAGCACCTTTTCTATGGTCCGATTGCGTAGCTCGCATAGACTCATAGCTAAAGGGGGATGCACAAGGCACTGATAGGAGTAGGTGTTATCCGCAGAACTGATTTGAAAGTCATCGATGGCGCGTCGCACGAGCACAGAGCCTGTATGGCTGGACTTGACGTTTCCGAGATGTTTGTACACCTCTTTTTCTCTTCTTCCATGGCTAGAGTCATGTTCGTACATTTTCAATGTAACATAGGCATGCTGCCTACTACTTTTCAGTCCTCAATCTCAATGCCACTGGCACTAGAACTCACTGTAGGTCTCTACAGAGCCACACTGTGGAATGACCCCCATACCCAAGCTTTCCAACCACCTGGTACCTTGAGCGAAATACATCGCCGATATTCACAGGGTAGAAATGCTCTGGCGTGTACCCTCGTAGCTTTTCCTCCTCTAGTTTGTCGTTTGAGTCGAGAAGAATGCCTGCATGAGAAAATTTCCTAGCTGGAGAAGGCGGTCGCCCAAAGATGGACTGTTTCAGTCGGTGCGTGAGGCGTTGCATCATCATTGGACTACCTTTGCACAGGATTGGGGGTAGCAAACAAAAGACAGGATGGAAGGCCACTTGGACGACGTGTCGAAAGATTGGACCGCGAAGGCAATCACGTGACTACTGTCAACATGTGGGGCCTTGACGGATCTCGACCTATTGTCGACAGCGAGATTGGCCACGATGGATTATAGTTTATCCGGAACGCTGGGAGAGAATAAATTAACTAGTTAGTTAACTATTGGTTTGTTTAGTTACTCATCCCAACCCCGAAGAATCAAACCGTCCCGAGGATGAGTAGGGGTGACGTGAATGTCGAGGCAGCGATTTCGTCCGGACTATTCGTCGGAGAATCCGAAAGCTGAGCTGCGTTGAGTTTGTGGAATAATATGATGGCACTGTTGTCCGTTAGGCAAATGCCTTCGATGGTTCCTTGAACCGGAGCCGCTAGAACACAATTTTTCGAATGACTTTGGTATTAAATTTCCTTGCAAGGAATCCTAAAGTTAATGGGGGTGACTACGTTGATTAGAGAACATGTCAGACCTGTTTTGTTGTGGAAAGACGGAATTTTCCTGTAATCCCGATGGCACATGAGCATCACGTGTTGCCGTGTGGAGCTAAGTTTTTCCAGCCCGTGACACTAGATTGGGCATCACATCACCTCTTTCATGCCCCGCTGTTCTTCCCCTCATTCCACTCAGCGCAAAACTATCTCCCGCTTTTTTTTTATTATGCCTTACTCATGTAAGATTTGAAATGCATTGTTACTTGATTGTGACTGACTTTTTGTAAGGATTTTGTCCTCCCATCGGCTTACTGGCTCTTGATCAACCGTACCGGCCGCCTCTCAACCTTTCGAACATAATGGCACCTTGTTCCATAGAACCTACAGCCTTGTCCGAGCTCACAAAACTCGCAACTTGGGTCCATGATCATGCTAAGATGGAGGAAGTCGCCAAGAATACTTTTAAATGCGTGGATAAGGACCGTCGGGACAAATTGCGACCATTCTTGGATGCACAGAAATACAGCAAGATATGGGTAGGAATTCCAATCTGTATTGTTAGATGGACAGCTGAATAATTGATTGCCAACAGGGCCATGGATATACAATATACCGCATCAAGGGAAAAGCGGAGATTGGCTTAACCCCAAACTATCGGTCCCTATTTTTCCCCCTCTCTGTCGGCCCTGGAAATGACGATCAGGGAAATGACGATCAGGGAAGTAGCAACCCGGGAAATAAAGATTCATCCTCTGCCGAACTACAAGTTGCAGGTGAAGTGCTTAAGCCTGGTGATTACATACATTTTACGAGTGCTTTAGTCCTTGATGCACAGGTAGACTGTCTCATCGTGCTCCTACCGAACACGGTCACCAAATAGCTCGAATTACCATGTTGTGTCTGTATTATGGCTTTCAATCAACACTGATGAGTATTCCTGTTCTTATATTTGAACAAGCGGAGCAACAGCACAGTCGCTCCCAAGACGGCGTACGTTTTCCCCAGGACAATGACATAGCGCGACATCCGGGTGAAAACTCTTCGCATGTATGTCAGTGGCAAGCGGTCTTATTGCCTCGAGATATCGTGGTCTCATCGTATTACTCATGTCAGGGAAGTCCGCATTTCCGACGGACATGAGCGGTGCCATCATATCAATCGTATCAGGGAAGTCCGCATCCCCACCAGGTATGAGCGGTGCCATCATATCAATCGTATCAGGGAAGTCCGCATCCCCACCAGGTATGAGCGGTGCCATCATATCAATTGTATCAGGGAAGTCCGCATCCCCACCAGGTATGAGCGGTGCCATCATATCAATTGTATCAGGGAAGTCCGCATCTCCACCGGGTATGAGCGACGTCAAGGTGTCAAGCGAAATATCAAGACCTAGGAAAGCTGGAGACCTAGGATCTTCGGTGTCCAAAGAAACGATTACTGAGCGATCCATCGAAGCCTCAGGCCGGTGATGATATCCTTGTTCGTCTAGTGGACAATCAATACTGGGTGTACCAACAACCGGAGATCGAGTGTTTCTAAACTCCTGCCGAGGTATTTGGCGCCGTTTACCCTCGTTTTGGTTAATTTCTGGAGCAGCATTAGGATTTCCAGATATTGGATGCAAATATTCAACCGCCTTACCGTTCACCTTCGCCTCTCTCTTCCTCTTGTTCCTCAGTGCTGACTTCGTGGGAGGTCGCTTGAGCGAGCCTTCTGTCTCTTGGGACCTTGCCCAAAGCTCGTCAGCTATCTTTTTTCCTAACACATCGAGTCCATTGCTTGTGACAGCGTTGTCAATGCCATTTTCACGGAGACTGTCGACAGCGGAGGAGAAATATCGGGAAAATTCCCTGCCAGTGTATCTTGACATGATTTAGCATCCAATTTCACGTTGCGAGGAAGAGAATGCAACGCACTGGTATTCTGTGACTGTCAAAGGTAATATAAGCAAGTACCCGGGTCCGCCTAACTCTTCGGCCCACTTGTTGTACGCACGACCAAGCCGAACATACTCTTCAAGCAGTTCGTCTGCATCTAAGGAGGGATGCTTTTGTTTTATCTGCGCTGCGAGTTGTAGACAAGCATCCCTACGCCATCTGTCTCCAGTATGATACCCAAGTTCTTTTGCCAAAAGGAACAGGTTCCGGAATTCAAGCCGTCGATATAGGAGATGCATTTGAAGATAGATGTCACGAATCTTCTCATCTTGAATATCGTCACATTTTTGGTGTAGACGAAAAAATGCACCTGTCAATCCACCTGCGACTTGGACTCCAATACGATGAGTTGACTTAAAAAAGGATTGTGGGTTCCCCTGATGTTTGATGAGGGCGTTGTGAAGGCTAGTCGATATTGAAAAGGGGCGATAGAGGTCGATTCTTTGATCAGGGTTGCTAGAGTTGCGATGGGATTGACGATGGTCGACAGTACCGCCATGGTCGAAATGGGAGGCCTCATTTGATAGTGTATCATTGTGGTTAACTGGTGACGGGTCCTCGCCGCGATCGCCAGGTGGGCATAGATCTTCACGAGCATTGTTAACCACCGCTGGGCTCTCGTGATGGCAGTTGAGTGCAGCATTACTTTTATCAGTTGGTATGTGAATTGGCTCGTTTTGTAGACGTTTGCCCATCATGAGGAGGAGTCTCGAGAAAACCAGCAAACTGGGCGCTGGCAGACCCTGAACACATTTCGTGCATTCTTCAGGAGGTAGTTTCGTCTCTATCTTGTTGAGAACGAGCCCAATTCTCTCGAAAAGGTCATTGAGCTCTGCTGTAAGTAGACCCGCTGTGTCTTCCATTCTTGATGGATGGGAGATATCGTAAAGTAAACCCAGGCTGGGCCTGAGGAACTATTGCTCACCTGGTCTTACTCAGACCTCTTTCCAGTCCTGTGGACTCTCGTGCGGGACAGCCAATCATATTCGACCAGCTAGCGCGGATACGTACCATCACACGCACATGCAGTCAGTATCACCTCCCCATAAATCGGGCAATGATAGGCAGTATTTACGTGTATGGGGGACGAGATCCTTTATCGAGAAGATGATTCGCATTTCCAGCGTACATATAAACCCTATGATCAACCTTCCTCGTCTCTTTCTCTTCCAAGTAGCTGGACTTCGACTTCTGTGCATTTCCACTTTCTTAAGTACAGAAAAGCTTTCAAACATCTCGACTCCCCAATCAGATAGCTAGTGGGACCCCCGCCTCTTCTAACTGCTCACCCCAAATGAGCCTTCCCATATCGGTGGCACCAGCAAAAGAACCCCAAGCTATCATACCTCCCTTTCCCCCTCAGTCACTTTAGGTGAGATCGAAGAGAACCCGGGCCTTAACTGTAGATTTTGGCCCCTTTCTACACTTAACACGCATCTTAGAACACCTGTTTTAGCAAATGTGACCTCCTGCACCAGCTTCTCTTGCCAAGGGGGGGGGAGGGGCTAACTGTAGATTTTGGCCCCTTTCTACGCTTTAGCACATCGCCGCTCAGACGAACGCCCCACTTAGATGGCGGTGACTTACTAAACTCTGGTTGGTCCAGGCTTCATCCCAATAGTCTCGTGGCAAAAGATCGTTGGTCTCGTACCCCGTCAAACGCCCGACGCTTAAAGGTCGGGGAACGACTATATTGTATACAACTCCGCTCGCACCATTTTTGAACAAAGTTGACTTTGCCATTTCGAGACAAACCCGTGACCCAACGCACTAATGCATGAGCAGGATAGGACTTAGCTGCCCTGCTAAGAGACGGTGTGATCTGGACAGATACGGCCCCAGAAAACGAAATTCTACTTATTCCGCAAGTAACCTAGTCCGTACATGATCTCCTTCTACGCGGCCGTGTTGCGCCTTGACGTGCTCGCCGTTCGCGGGGCATGCACCGATTCGAAAATGCGAGACCACATCTAGCCCCATCTCAGTTGCTATTAGCGCTTAGGGCGCACCTCTAAATTCGCATATTCCATGTCCGTTCTCCAATGGCCTAGGTCTCCACATTCCCCCCCCAAACACAGGCTCTTATTCGAAACCATCAGAGTCACTGTAGACCAACTTTTACATTACCAGAGCTTTTGCTGGTGAGACCAGGAGGACAGAGATGCGTTTTCAATTAGTGCCTTGAAAGTTCTTTTGGGACCCTAATATAGAATGGTTCCAGCTATGTCTAGTCGACAAAGAAGACTTTTACCGACATGGGCGAAACAGTGAGCAGCGGAAGAAAGACTCAGTGAACCACAGCTCCTTGGAGAGCCAGGCGAGTGTACTTTCCAGCTTCTCATAGTGCTGGCACCACACTCTCTCCCCCTCCCCGGCCCATTGTCTGGATTCGAGGCCGAGTGCTAGACTCTGTTCAAAATTTGCCTGGAATGTAGCAGCACAGTCGAGCTTTACGGCCTGCTTGAATGTCCTGAAAGTCAACGATCATTGTGTATTTTTATTAATTTACCCACGCGATGTGGTGGTGTGAGTGCTTTCTTACAGGGATAATTAGTTAGCCTCGTCTAGGTGATTATTAATGGGTTTTATGAAATACACCGTTTTAAATGTACCATATCTTCTTCCCGATCGGGGCTCCAGCTATTGATGGAGAGGAATCAAGCCAAAAACGATATTCACCTATGGAGGGCGTTGGTTACCATCGCAAGCAAAGTATTCTGGAAGTTGGATTTGATTTAGCAAATATATAACTGCTAACGCCAGCACTACAACCCATTTGTTCTCATAGGCGCTTTCTCACTCCACCAACCGAAAATATGGAGGAGCTGCGCAGCTGCATTTCCACAGCCATTCATTTTCTATCTCTCGCCAAATCAGAGGTAAGACCTTGATCACTGATAGAGGAAGCTACTGACGTGTTAGCCATGGGATGCCTTCCACATCAGGCAGCAAGATGAGGAAGGTTTGGTCATGGAGGCGACTGGCTGGAGGCTCAATATCCCACTGGAGGAAATGAAGGGTTCTTTGATTGGAATCTCGTTTCTTCTCGACAGTGGTGGATACTTCTGGTGCATCCTTTTGCATGCCCTACAACACTGCTGTGATACAGAATGGCAACCAATACGTGGCAGCGACGGACTACGTGTTGTGAACAGGAGTCAGAATGGAAAATTGTGGCTCTGTGAACTAGAGTATGGCGATGTACACAGCACAATACCTTTTACCCTCCTGAAGAAAACATCACCTGGTCGGCTTATGATCTCACAAGCCGAGTCCACTGGCGGCAACGTCGATCAGAGCACGGTGCAGATTTTCCTCACACTTTTGAAGAATGCGTCGATAGGGAATTCAAAGTACTTTTGGCGGTGGATACTGGCCATCTGTATTTTGGGGCTACAGTGCATGTTGTGGATTATAGTCACCGTGCATACTCAAACAGGAGGAGTGATTTGTTATCGCTATCAAGCAGAAGAGTTCGAACAATTGGATTAATAACATCGATGAGAATGTTTGCTTCCCAACAAGCTTCTTCACGATTCCATATTGAGTTTTCTCGACTCACGTTTCTGAAAATATAAGAATGAGAAAGACTATTGAGTGTTTCTTACTCCGATTGTTAGGTGCGATTTTACCCTACAGCATGGCGCATGTTCCTGGAGCTAATCAATGGCCATTCTTGGACAATTTCGAAGGTCTGCATGTCCCTATCTTGGTTGATTGTCTACTTCCACTGATCAGACAGAAATAGTTGGTGTCTTGAGGATAGAGCGACACCAAGGCAGGACCCTTGTTCATCCCCCGGAAATGATCCTTCTTCGCTGTCAAGCTACCTTCATTACCAAACGCCTTGACTTTGCACCTCAGCAAGTGTTCATTGTGATCAAGAAAATGACGAGTGATGGCGGCAATTTTCACGAAGAGCTCCAATTCCTCCTATATACCATGCGAATGAGGCTTTGTTCTCCTGGCATTTACCATACGGATGAAGGCCATTCGATTCGACTTGCCATAGGGTTTACCCGGGATTGTTTGATCTCGCTCTCAGGAACCAACGTCGACCATGCTGAAGGACGTCTAACAGATTTCTATCCTGTCGTCCCAGGGGTTTGGGAAATCATATTCGCGTTGCAAAATTCGGAGTACATTGTATCAAAGCGAGGCAGTCTCGCAGAGCTGGTACAAGTCGTTCACTACAAGGAACCGGCCTCCCCTCCCGCACTAAGCCTAAGCTAGCCCTTACTCGTACCTACCAATTGCCGGTACGAGTTTGCGCTTTTGGAAGGAAGCCCTGGGAGAAAACAATGTATGTAGAATTTTTCCTCATAGTATTGAGGGGCTATTTGAAAAGGGACATCATATACATCAATGAGAAAATCTGGGATATAGCCACTGTGGTTTCCTAGACGTGAGGAAAGAGGCTGTCGCATGGGTCCTGAAGTATTTCGTCTAATGGCACGCTGTAGTATTCCAGACTATGGTATGATTGGCCAAACTAAGCAGACTATTTCCCCATACGATCCACTTGTAGGATAGGGCAATAAGAATGAGCCTAATTGATCAAGGAACCGGCCTGTAATAAGAGCCCCGCAGAACCTGTGATATGCTGCATTCCTTGGTTCCGAAAACCGCCCGACGCCTGATACCCTAACTACACTCTCCGTAGATTTCAGTGGTCGTTCCAGACTTGCTCGACTTTCTTTTTTAGAGTGCTGCGGCTCCTGTCGGGTCCGAGAAAGAGTAATGTATAGCTAAGTTCTCCGGATTCGTATCGGAGGCACAACCATTTGATACATTCCTCTAGTAAAAGACAGTTCGTATGCGGCATTCGAGCTATGGGCTTTTCTAGGCTCCTAGGCTCCAAAACATTGGAAAAGTATATGGCCAAAGTGTCCTGAATATTTAAACCCCGGTTTCCCTTGATAACGCATCCTTCAGTGTATTCTTTATGGCGGTAAGAGAGCAATAAACTTCCAAGGCCTACTTGAACCCTCTCATTTACAGCAGGGTTCCTTATTCGCTGTGCTATTTCCGATACCGCCGTTATCACTATATGAGGCGATGTCGATTCCGTGCAAAGTGGACCTCATATCTGGTTCCTCGAGGCAAGCCGAGCGACGACAAGCCAATACCGAGGCGTCGAGACGATTCCGAGCCCGTCAACGCGTGCAAGTGCATCTTATGCAGCTTCCAGAAGATATGCAAGGTATGTATATGGTTTTGCCTACTTCTTACTTCTACTGATAATCTTAGTCGGCGTCTTGGGTGTGCAGGAACATCAAGGCATATATTCCGTTTATCCCTCTGACGAAATCCTCGTCCAATGCCAACGCCTCTTCGGTTCAGGAATATTTGAATTTAAACCCCAGCAGGTGTTTATCGTAATGCAGAAGATGTCAACCACTGACAGGGACTTCTCCAAAGAGCTTCATTTTCTCCTTCGCACCATGCAGATAAGGCTTTGCTTCCCTGGCGTCCGTGATACCGATGAGGGCCACTTTATCCGGCTTGCTATTGCATTTTCCCGAAGAATTTCCCTTCAGGGAGTCCCGCTCCGCCCGAGCGTGAAAAATGAAGGATATCTAGAGGACTTTCAAGGTATTGTACCTGGAATTTGGGAAATAAAAGTTCGCGTTCCGAGTCCAGGATGTGTTGTAACCGTGCGAGGCAGCGTAGCGGAGCTTATACAACATATCACCTACAAAGAACCTACCTCACAGCCTCCTCCGCCAAAAATATTAGGTGTGAAGTACGAAGCTTGACTGGGCGCCTCACTTCTGTCAATCAAGCCTTTCCTTCTACTGAGGGATGCAAATAATGGAAGATGAAGCTTCCACGTGGGAATGGAAGATTGATCGGCTTGAGAGGGATGCAGGCATCTAATTTCATGTATTCATGCATTGTGAAGGACATCTAAAAGATGCTATCTTATGGGTCCAGGGGTTTGGGGAATTAGGGAATCACAATCGCAATGGAGAATTTGGGGTGCATGGTGTATTACGGAAGGCTTCCGAATAGTGTTGAAGTGTTATCTGAAGAGAGACATTTAATGTGGTTTCCTGAGCGATAGAAAAGAGGTTGTTCCCATTAGTTCTGAGGTAATTTTCCTAATAGATTTTTCAAACTAAACAGACTACATACCATCCACTCGTAGAGCAGGGCAATAAGAATGGACCTGATTAATGGAAGATGAGAAACTCAAATAGGGAGCTGAGTTTAGTCATAAGTTAACTCGCCCCAAATCACATGAAACTTAGCGAATCATAACGGGTAGACCTATGCACCTGGAAACATGACTTGATTTGCTAATAAATACCCCACTATTGAGGAGAATATAGTCTTAACCGGTGGAAAATTCAGCGGGGAATGATGATCTCGTTTGAATAGTACAGCTACTAAGCTCAGTGAAGCTTTCGGGGTCTAGACACCAATAGAATTTTCGTGCTGGAGCAGCTTCATAAAGCACGGACTTCCTTATCTATGTGCCTTCAATCCAACTTTCCAATACAGTTTCATAGCAAAGTGAGCATGGACGTGTGCGTCGTATTTTCTCTTCCAAGATATGCACTTGAATGGCTTGGATTACAGCTGGTATGACTCCTAACCAATGGCTGCGGATTCAATGGCTGATGTAGGTAGAACCAACATGGGTTGGAAGGGGATTCGCATTTTGATGACAGGATTCTGGACAGGAGGATACAGCAATGGCTGATTACAAGTGGTGGAATCACGATCGTTGGCTCGAGAATTTCCCAGATGGTGGACTATCTTGAAGGCGAAGTCGAAGTTACGGAGACGGTTACTATTGAAGAAGGTCCCGCATATACGGAGACAATTCGAAGAGGTGCAAGGGAGGATTTGATCATTTTTTGAGAACGGTCACTGTTTTCTGAGCGGTGATCCCTCAGTCAAATCCACTATAAAGCCTTCCTTGTCCCCTCATTGTACCCTTCGTAACAATACCTCAACTCGTGTCAGCATTCTATCTGTACCATCATTATTAGATCAACATGTCTGGTCATGATGAATCTTCGGAAATGTCCCTCAGATGCCCTTCACTCTTTGAAAACGTCGAGGAGGTACCATTGAATCTTATGGAGTCCGCAATAAAGTCCGACCTTCTCTCCAAACCGCTAGGTTCACACGAGGCGCTTCATTTCTTTCTTGAGGAGCTCAACAAAGACAACACGCACCCCCTGATTAAAAAGGCAATCGAAGCTGTCTTGAGAAGCCCATCGCTTAGACAAGATATCGAGATTAAGTGGAACCTCTCCCGCAATTATGGCTGTGCCAAACGGCGCCAGCACATGATGGACAAGCGCGCCCCCTATGATTTGGCCTCATGGTGTATTGAGAAGTGCCCTCGATGCTTCAATTTACTCTTGGATCATCAAACTGTTCAGCCTTCTGCATTTTGCGAAAATGGCTACAACTTCTTTTGGCTCGCCGTCAGGAGTGGGAAAAACGACTTGATGCAACGTATTGTGTCTTTGATGGATCTCGAAGATCTTCTTCATCCTTTTTCGATGAGGGAGCCGGAGGCAGACCGATACACAATCTTTCAGGCCTCTACCTGGAATCGGAAATGGTTTCAAGTCTGCTGGGAACGGCTTAAATCATGCCAGGACAACGGTCTTACTTCACTTGGGCCAGATGAGATTGGACATATATGTCGATTTGCCGATGTGGATCTTGCAAAAGAGTTATTGGAATCAGGCCTAGATCTGGGAAAATCTCGCCCAGAGAACGCATCACCTGGTTGGTTGGAGATAGTGGGCCGAAAGGATCCGGAACCAATGCTGAATTGGTTCCTGAGCCGTGGCCATCAGCCACCCGAGAAACTCTTGACGTATGCCGCGACATGCAACTGCACCCAAGCGGCAAGCTGGATTATGCGCCATACTGAAAGCCACCTAGACTGGCGTGAGGCTGCGCTTGTAGCGGCGGAAAATCCAGATGACGGAAGCGCGGAAATACTAGAAATCATTCTACAAGACCCAGTTGCAAAATGGAAAGCAGACCAGACTCTGTCACAGAATATTGTGATCAAGACCATCAACGGAGTGTGCCAGGAAAGAAAGAAATATGAAGCTTTTCTGTCCGATAAGTTTTTCCAGAAAAAGTTCGCGGAAATGGAGGATGTTGCTGTTCGAAAGATCCAAGCTCTGGGTGAAGTAGTTCGAAATGTTGAAGTTCTAGGTGTTAAAATCACGGCTAATGATACTGGACTGTGTCGCCTTGCGATGGCGCTGGAGAACATGAATCAGCACTGTTAGATTTCATTCCTTCATCAACTGAGCAGCTGCCCACGTTACAGCGAAAATCTCGATTACACCTGGTGATCTAATCGCCAATAAGGGAACCTGCGCCTGGGAATATTTCAACAATGTTCCCGTCCAGTCTTTTCAGTCAATCCAATCATTGCGTTTTTCTCATAGCCGATCTCCTTGGATAATGAGTACAATATGGGGTAGAGCCGGTTGCGTGATACGTACTTTTATCCTTCAGAACTAAACTAGTATGCGCATGATAAGCATCGAAGAAGTACTATGTAGGTGCTGGGACAAGGAATGATTTGCAGACAATATAAATATGAACGGTCACTTGCTTATGGCTCCTTCCCCTTTGGCCTAGTCCAAAATGACCGAATATTCTATTGCATCCCTTCCGCAGCTTCTAGGATGGATCAAGTCTCAACTTCGCTTCCCAACAAGCATTACTTCTTGCTGGTCTCTTGGTGAAGATTCAGGTACATCATTAAATTTTGCGCCAGGAAAATTACTACGCTTATACACCTCTTCAAGCAGAGTCTCACACGCAATCAAGCCGGTCTCCATCGACAGCGAGCGGGGATACCATTAATTTAGACGGCCTGGTGCCTCCTGTCTTGAGATATCCAACCAGGGTGGCCTGGGCATTTTATTGCCAGGATTTCTATTCGCGCAGCCCGTCATCCAACAGAGACGATTCAGAATCAAAGAGCATGTCAAGGAAAGCCCGGGTCTGTACATGCACATAGTGCAGATTCATTCTTCGATAGCGACGCGACAAAGTTAGGGAGACTCCCAGTGAGGAAAAGCAAAAACATTGGGAGTCGTGGCCATGAGTAGATCAGTCTCGCGCAACCTCTTTGTGATTGAAAAATAAAGACCTATTTAAGAGACAGGACTTCTCTCCCAATGTGCCTAGGTTCTCTGTCAACATAGTCAAAGCCTCACTCTCCTGCCAATTAGACTTCTGTCCCTGAGGATCGTATAATGCAAAGCACTGCCCCTGCCACGAGCTCTGCAATTCACTATGCTCCTCCATACGGGTGGCAGCCGATCATGTCTCCCAATACCATGATGGTCTCAACTTCGAATTGCCCGCCAGTAGTGGAATACCCGGTTAGGCTCGTGGATGCCAGATATTCCACTGAAGTTATTTGTGAAGTTAATCAGAGTATGCTTGGGCTGAAACTCTTGCATTTTGCACTACTTCAGACTGACTTGTACTAGATGTGGCTATTGTGGAGAAGCGCTCGCCCGCTGGGATTGTTTTCATCCCTATCCTACGATACCTTTCTTTCACCTGCGCAAAGTTCCATCGTCGGAAGGAATCCAATAATGAGTATACACTGGGAGACATATACCTAGCCATAATGTCCGAAGCTGGATGTGTGGGGGCAAACCCATACATTTCGCCCATTTTATGTCGGCTGCAGACCCAGCTGATGGATGGCACTTTTGCCTGTAGTGAGCAGGGGCAATTCACGCAGCTCCTAATCTATCTACACCGGCCTATCAAAATCCGCAGACAAGGGGTCAATATTGTCTCGCCTGAGGGGCCAGACGAGCTCGAAGACGCAATATTTGAGCATTTGATTCCCTATCATTGCGAAGGTCGGGATTATCCTGGATACTACTGGATGTACATCTCCTTACCTGCCTTTGGTGGTTATGTACTCAACACGATGGGGATCCCCAAGCATCTCCTAAACATGTTCCGATCGGGGTAGATATGCGAATAGAGGTGGTTGGGATTAATTGAAATTTATTTCAGAGTGCCAACCAATCATGGGCTTTATACCGGAGGGGGCTTTATACCGGAGGGAATCGGTATGCCCCTTACTGCCAAGCAATGGACGATATAATCGATGCCTGTCAACAAGTGCAGATAGATAAGAAGGCGGCTGTCCCCATCCTATGTAGTTTCTCGTCCCCATCAATACAAAAGACTGTCCAGAATGTTCTCAACCGGCGCCCAGTTCGAACCCACTTTTGCCGTCACCTCACGTTTCTCGTTTCTCCAATTGCTCCTCCTGATATGCTACGTCTCCCTCGAGTCTTCCTTGCCTGCAAGAATTCGTGATATTCGGCAACTCTCCGACGTTAGCTCTCGCAATGAACACGAATGGTATCCACAAATCGGTACTGAGGGCTTTTCTGAGATGAGAACGAAGATCTGGACAGCAACAAGCACGGAGACTCGTCGACATTGGGAGTATGTTCGTGATTATTTGTTGCAGGAGAAGCTGGTCCACTTTGGGGTGTCAGCCCAGGAACTGCGAGCATATCTGTGTCACCTCCTTTGTCGCATTGAGCAAATATCCTCGGAAAGCCTGATCGCGATGTGTACCCCAAGAGCCGCCCTAACTGCGCCGATCACGCATCTGGGGGAGCGGGCCAGCTTGGTGTTGGTCTGCTTCAGTCTTGGTGTGACGTTAACTCCAGGTGACCCAACGCCACTACTGTCATTGCTCACGCACCCTGATGAGCAACGAATAGGAACGATGGTTTCCCAATTACAAACCTCGCCCTTATTTCGGAGCCAAATACGGCCACCACAATTATGGGATGCGTTGAGTTCCCTGCAAATGCTCTTTGCTTACGAGAACGAGGAGATCCTGGATTGCGGCTCTGCCTTCGATAACCCTTCCTACGGGCAGCCATGGACAGTGGAAATCCAACAACATGAAATTCGGACATGGCAATACAATTACTTCAGGCCCAAGTCCACCACATCTTCCTCGGTTCAACATCATGCCAAAAGGCCGAAACGAAACGCTCAATCTATGTTGGCACTCGGAGGGTTTCAGATGCACCCAGTGTCCAAGCGTAGGAAGCAGCTGTCTTCCGACGACAATGCCTAAAACTCAAGTGCTACCATGACAACGCGATTGAGACAAGAAGAAGACCTGGCCTGACACGCCTCCACAGACGCAGCACATAAGTACCCAGAGTTTTGTCCTAGCTCGCCAGCTCTAATATCTCGCTTCCTTTTCTAGCATTGCTTTTGGTAGTGGACGATCAGTTGATCGAAATGTTTAAATGCCTCTGTATACCAATCAGCAAGCGGCTGGTCCCCGTCCAGCAAGGTATTGTTTCTTTCGTCGTAGTACCGCCGGCGTATCTCATTCAGTGCCAGGAACGCTGTTTGGGCGTAAGAACGATTGCCCTCAGGGGTAAAGAGTGGGTCGCTGCTCAATAGTCGCAGTCCGTTAAGATTGGTGAAGCGTTGGCTGACTCGATCAATTCCATCTGGTTCCACAGCCAGATCGACCTGGTTCCTGCCGAGAAAGATGGCGGCATGGACCACATCCTCTAAACCGGCGTATATATTGGTCATTGGACTGCACCTGACGCGGACGGTCTGCAAATGGAAATAAGAGGGCACACTTTCGGTCCGAAGGATTTGCACAATACTCACCACCAACGCCATCACGACTCCTGCATATAGTACTGGGGTGCAGGTTGTGGCCCTTTCCTGGTAGAAGACGAACATATAAATGAGCGGCGTCGGCGTTCCTGCAACTTCCGCAATAAATATGATATCAGGTGATGGTAGAAAAGAGGCATTACTGAATCCATATGATGAAAAGAAGCCGTTCCCACCGGCCGGTGGCAGTGAAGCACATCCATACCACGAAAGCCGCTGAACCGTATAATACGATATGATTTACCAATCATGTTTGACCTCGACAAGCATTCTGCAATGGGATAGTGGCGACCAGCACCAAATGGCTGGGCCGACTGCCCTCATCATTTGTCTGGACGCCTAGTGCGGCAGTGGTAGAGGAATGATGATCGCATCCTAATCAAGTAGCCTGTATGTCTAAGTACGATTTCCTTCGGTGGAGAATAGCAGGCCGCTACTCAGAAGTCGCGGCTGGGTGAGATTGGTGATTCCTTGAATGGCCCGGTGTAGAATATATGGCTCGACGGTCAGTTGGACCTGGTCCTTACCCAGAAAGATGGTGGCACGGACGAAAGAAAGCCGTTCATACCGACCGGTGGCAATGAAGTACACCCCTTGCACCAGAGTACAATAGCGGAAAGTGCGCAAAACTGTTTCCAGATAGCAATCTTTCCCAGTGCGGGGGTGGTAGTGAAATGGTCCGTTGTTCCAAACAAAGCAGCGGGTACTTCCGTAAAAGGGAATGTACTTGAGTACATTCCCTTTTACGGACATAGGACATAAAAGGGGGATGGCCTGTCCACGACATGAGAACAACCATCCTTTTGCCGTCATGCCTCAGCGAGCATTCGATTTCGAAGGAGACGATGCACAGTACATCAAGCACCTCGAGAGTTTGCTGCTGAGCGTTCAACCGCCCCTTAATTCCCGCCTTGGGAAGCTCGGCCCCGTCGCTAATGCTCTCGAGCCGCCACCCAGTAGTATTCAGTTTATTGAGTGGAAACCGGACCATACCTCTCTGCAAGTGAACCCGATGTGGATGAAACAACTTAACGCTTTCATTGAAGGCATCCCTGTCCAAGACCAGTGGCGGGAGGCAAGAGTGAAGGCTGGCATTGATACTCCGGATCGGAATCAACACGCTTTGAAACTGATTCTAGGCCATGTCGGTCCTGCCATCTTCCATGATGAATACGAGACCACCGCTCAGGCGCCGGTTCTCCCCACCGAGAGCCGTGATCTGGTGGTAAGAGGGTGTGAATATGGCCGCTTTATTGCTCGGTGTAGTCATGACCGGAATTTCGCCGTGAGAGTGGTTGCCTTTCAGAATCTGGTTTTTTGCAGTTACTGCGTTGTCATGATGCGAGCTGGAGTTTCCCAGGACACCACCAACGACACAATGAGGCGCTACACCGGCCGGGATCAAAAAGATCACACTCTGGCAAAGTATCGGAACGGCGCCGTATGGGTCAACCGATGCATGGTGGCCCTTCTGAAGAATGGATGGGGACATAAGAGCTGGGAAATCTTCCTCCTCAGTACGTGTTCGCAGCCATTTCGCGGTTCTCGCTAACGGAGCTTGCCTCAGATAGTCAGAGTCCGGCACAAATTGCCCGGTTTGCCGCCTACAATGCCGACAGTTACAAGATAGTAGCCCATCGGTTAGGGGAAGCAACTGTTCCGCAGTGGGAAATTGGTTGGGTACCATACTGCCTTCCCTGTATCGTCCACTACCTCACGGGGTATACAGTTCCGTAAGATACGAATGCCAGGCTCAGAGGGCCCTGCTGACAATACCATTCCAGACTGCAAGGCATCTGCGAGGCTCTCGGTTACGGAAGGCTCCCACCTTACTTGATGCAGGCTATTTCCATGCATTTCATAGAGACATTGAATTCCCTATTCGCCAACGACGGCATTCTGCCTGTGCCTATCGGACCATACCACGCGGAATCGAACGTAATTCACCCGCTGCCTTGAACAAGCAAGCCTACCGATATGTTCCCGGTCCCCTTTCAACCACCAGGTAGTCTACTTTCGGGGAGATGATGACGTCCGTGCACAATGTGTAATAGTATCCCAGCAACAAGGTCACGATGTTGTGGGTCAGATCTTGAATTTTAGGCATGCCGGCGATGACGTTGATGGGAATTGCGTAGGTTGGGTGGGTGACAGGAACGAGTCTGACATCCTCCGCCCGATACATCGTGTATTTACATCCCTAATTAAATTAACATGGCCCACGAATGTGACTTTCATGACCTACCGCCAGGTTCAGCTCGTGCAGAAGAGGCTCCACCAAGGGCTCCAAACTTGTGTTTCGATACGTTCGATCGCCTTGCCCATTTACATAGTAGTCATTTGATGAAGTAGCATCGTCACGGGCCCATGCGGCTAGTTGCTGTCGTGCCGTATCGGCGGCTGAAGTGAGGAGGAAAGGACCGTTCACTCCCCTCACCGGGCCTGGAGAGCTGTACTGTCCCATCTGCGGGTGCCAATGGAATGCATATTAGCTGGTTTATCCTCGGGCTTAGGAATAAGACACATACCATACTAACAGTTTGATACCTATCTTGTCCTATACTTCTCGCACTCCCCTCGACCATGGTCTCACGCGGGGCTGGAGGCCAGGAGGTGGGACCGATCACGTGTGATCTATCATTGGCCCAGAAGCAGTCTACAATGTGATCCCCATTTGGATCGGAGATAACCAACCCTCTTCAACCCATGCCGAGACAACGGACAACAGTCCTCGCTGAGCGGGCATCTTGGCTCAAGTCCTTTTGGGATTGGGGAAAACTCTGTGAGGAAGGAATGTGAACATCGTCTAGAGTAAATACTTGCATTATGACAAAAAATCAATACAGTCCTCACGGTCTGTATCGACCTAAGCTCATACCATTGCTTAGTTGGTCTTCGCTGCGTGCGTGTGATGAGTCGCCAATTAATAGGACCGGCCTTGCTGAGGGGCATGGGGGAAGATATTCTTAAATATACATACGTTAAGTCACCAATTGATGCAATTGCTTGACTGAAGACCGTGGCGGGCAAGGCCACCTTATATATTTCACTTTGTCTGTACCTCGGGCTCAGTGGTATTGAACTGCTTCTGCTTCTGCTTCCCTACAACGCTTTTCGATAGCTTCATCGCCAAAGGGTGATGATCTCGACAATATGCTGAGCACAGAACCCTTGGAGGTAAGTGTCGAGGTGACATCGTTTCAACTCATACTGATCAATTAGACATTGAGAGTTTGGATACCTGTTCCCTGCTCGAATATCCTAGCATATCTTAAGAAACAAGGGCTCGATGATGCTGTGCTTGCGGCCGTACAACTTGATGACAATCACGCCGACCACAACGTATCAATCCTGGTAGATCTGGCCGTGATCAAAACGGAACTATCTCGCGTCCAGCGTCACTTTTGTTACGTCTCGTCATCAATGAATGATCTGGGTCTGGTTTTTATTGCTGAGAGCTCAAATGATCCCGAGAGCCAAAGATGGCGCAGATATTTTTGGGTCCATTCCAGGTATCTCCAGCAACATGCAGAGGCAAAGTCGAGCAGGAATGCCTCAGAGCGTATGACCCTTGTGCTTGGGTGGTATCAGAAGCGTCTGGAGATGATGACCATGGTGATGATGCAAAATCGCAGAATGGAAGCTTGACATTGCGGGGTCGACATGTACAGAGCCTACTTCTTTATTGCGCATTTGAACTCTGGTAGTGTCATGTCCATGTGGAAAGTTTGAATATAATTTGAAGGCTTATGCTCTCGGCGATCGGTTGTAAGAAGACAACTGATGTAGGCCTCCAGAATTACAATACTCCTGTTGTTTCAGCAAAAATACCTCTTGTGATGATTCAATGTAGCTTCGAGTGCCAATTGACAGGATTAAGTGGACGACATCAGCCATTAGACTTAACTGTGCGAGGGATTCAATCATGGTGCTGAAGTCAAACAAAAACTCTCCTGTACTGTACTCTACGAGAATCCGTGCGGGAAAATACGTGCGCAGACCACCCAGAAGAATGGCCTATGAGTCATGATTAATATCACATGAAAGGGACGAGAATCTGAGCTATGGGAGTAATACCGTGCCCATTTTTCTTCTCGCTGCCATGATCTCCATTGTGATAGACGATCTCCAGTGGATTCTATAGTGAAAGCCAACACGTTAGCTACATAGAATGCTTGATTATTTCTTTTCTCGCGAGCAACTTGCTATCGTAGATGGGGCCTTGTCCTCTGTTTGGGATGTGGTGGCGCCATCACCTTGAGGATGTTCGTTGGTATCCATAATGAAGAATTGAACGTAAGGATACTAGCCAGCGATATAGTTAAGGGCGCGTTGAGAGTATTTGCCCTGGACGAAGAAGTCGGACGATGGCCTAGTTATACGTCGGAGTTACCATCTCCTCATGGAATATCCAGTATGAAAGCTATGGAATAAGCAGCCAGTTATGGAACTAATAGGCCAATCATGTTGTTTGTCTGGTGACAACGATCAAATCCCCCAGTTAAATTATGATCTACACTTAACTCTACCGAGAATGTCACCCTGCAGAATCAGCGAACTGTACTTTTGTCGATGTTTCGAAGGCCTTTCGCCCTTGGAATATCTTTTCCTGATTAAAAGAATCCTCCAGTCTCAGATCTATCCCATTGGTCAAAGCATATGCACGGTTTTTGTGACCTGTAAAAGGACAAACGTGGTCCTGGGCTATTCGATATAAGATAGGTGAAGCCCTGTGATCCTAATCCTTGGATCTCCCACGACTGGACGCTTAGCTATTCCTTAGGGGAATCTCTCTGATTATGTTTGTCCCATCGCAGTCGGTTAGACTCCCACCTATACAACCAGATATACAACCAGATATACAACCAGATACGAACGTTCGTGTTACTTTGTGTTCGATTCGCGAGGTACTGGGCCTCTTCACACCCCCCCCCCCCAAAACGGCAAAAATCGCAACTCCTCCGCCCTCACGCTCGATGACGATGTGCACAGTACCGACCTTCGTACATTTCGTCGCGATCCCACACCCCAGCCAGCATCTGATTTGCAAAAGTATCCAAGTACACCACACAACCAGCTTACCATAAACGGCGGGGGCGTCTTTGGGAGCTCAAGACGGGGCAAAGATACAACACGGAGAAGAGACGCCAATCTCGATCCAGAGTTAACTGGGACAGTGACACAGTTTTACAAATGCGTGCATCCTGGGTGTAAATGCTCATTTTCAAGTCAATATTTGCTTAAGTAAGTAGTGGAGAACAATTTGATTAATAGACCATGCTAACCCCGATATTCAAAAAGATCCCATATGGATGTACACTCCCAGGATAGGCGCTACTACTGCCCTGTGGAAGGGTGTGAATGGAGTTCAAAGGGGTTCAAGCGAAAGAATGAACAGGAACGGCATGCGCTCGTACATAGCACTCCAGGGTACAGATGTCCTTTCTGCCATCAGGGGAAGCGAGGATTTGCTCGACCAGACAATCTTAAAAGGTAATTTGATCCCATGTTCCTACCAAGCGCTTTCTTTATATACTAATAAGACTCCTACAAGACATGTTCGAGACCACCACCACAACGAAAGCCTTGCAGATCCCGTTCTCCAACGAGTTCTCGGTCAGCGGCCACCTGAAAAGCCCAGAAAACGACGAAGGCAGCTGAAATAGTTTAATCCTTACGAAGAATGCTTGTAGGATTTTGGTGTGGTAATAAAAGGAGAGACATACAGTTACTGTGATTGTGAAGGCTGTAGTTTTTAACAGACTCATCTGACTAGTATTCCGTTCAAGAGGGTTTAAGCGAAGGAATGAACTGAAACAGTATGTGGTCGTAAATAGCACCTTCCCCTGTTTCCCCCTCTCAAAATAGAATCCAGAATATGAGTAAATATATCGATACATATGGGAGGCTCCCTCATGGTTGGCGTAACCATCTTGCTAGGTCAACCTTTAGCTTCTTGTCTGTGCAAGGTTCGTTGAAATTGTTGCCTTGAGACGATGCAAATCCTGGAGAAACCTACTAGAACACGTGCATGCCTGGGACCTTGAAATTTGAACAGCTGATTGGGAGGCGATCAATTTCTACATATTGACCATTTCACACTAAAAGTTTAAATAACCGCTCCCTCCATCAAGAATTCTCTACAATGCCGAGGCAATAAAACCTACAGGCACTCCTAGGAGTGTGATCTTTGTGTCTACGCTGTGTATTGCTATGCTTCAAGTGGCGACCTTGATAGTAACGTCGGCGTGCGCCTCAGCGAAACTGAAGTAGCCTAGGTCATACCCCGGGGTAGATAAGGGAAGGAAGAGATTTTCTGATACGATGGAGTGCCTCCCAAATGCCATGATTAGGCAGACCCTTTTTGCCCACTCATATCGTGCGCCTTAGATCCACTCAATCTACCCCCATTCATTCGCCAAGAATCCTTCAACCCGGGTGAGAATCAGCCCGTGAAGTGTGGCTCCTTAAGAACTCCTATAAATTTCCCTGCTAGTCTTCGTGACTGCTCTTCAGCAACATTACCTCTTTCAAGTTTCTTAAAGATCCGCAACCACGTCGCCTACTCCATCTCTACGAATCAAAAAACGGCTATCCATGAGATAGTCATCGGCAGAACGGCATCAGTCCCGCTCAAGTTTTACAAAAATGATGTTCAAGGGACTAAAGATATACAAAGCGGATCCTATCCCTGGAAATGAATACTCCTGGTCCAGAGTCGAATGCACCGAGATGGTTTTGACTCAACGTGAGCTGTACAGCATGGTGGACAAAAGAGCGGATCAGATTTCCGCGGCTAAGCAGTATCAGAGATTACCAGAAGCTCTAAGAGCGCTCATCAACCATGTACTTGGTGAGCTAAAAGAACGCGACGTTGGTGTGGAGTGGAGCTGCGCATATATCGAAAACCGTGGATCTTCTTCTAAATGCCCTTGCGACTGTCAGAAGAGAGAGAGTCTGGTCCTCATTCTGATGAAACGGCCTCGGAACCGTGGACCTTGGCTAAGGACTCCCATGGGAGACCTAATTGATTTCGGAAGTCGGCGGCGGTATTTTGCCAAACAGGACGACTTGTCTGAAACTCCTTCCTTCGATCTCCAAATGGACGCAACGGATGGAGAAGAGTCTTCGCCGTCAGAAGTCTGATATTGTCAAACATTTTCATCTCATGGACCCAACTTTTGTGGAATTCATGTCTGAAAGCCAAGCCGCACGTGAATTGTGCCTGAGAATGACAAAATCATGATTATCATAATCATGGCCCGCATACAGTAATAGAAGTGAGGGATGGTCAGTGTACGTATGACAGAGAGTATTTTGTGCGCATCCAGTTCTTGAGAAAATTCGGGATTTTGTGGTGAAAATGAAAATGGTCATTTCTTACTGTAACACGTGCTATTTAGTATTTGCAGAGTTGCTTTTGAGAGCTGGCAATATCAAACCTCTTCCCATCCAAGGTCATAAGTCTCAATAGTCTTTCCAGAATTTGAGGTGCTTTGCTTTAAAGCCAATCCGATCACTTTATTTCGTCATGGTCTTTCTGAAATTTATGTTTTCATGATAAGAAGCTAGCAATGTACATGGGCAAAAGACAGATCTAACTTCCATTCAAACAGATAGAACAGCAAAGTAACCAATCTACAGCAAGACCACAACATAGAATAACATCATATCCAAGCTGAATGATATTGCCTGAATCACCCAGAATCTTCAGACAGCAGGACAGGCACATGATAATGTGGGCTGAGAAGTGACAGAACCGTCGGTATGAAAAGACGGAGATGTGACAATCACCGAAGCTGAGGAGGAAGTCGTGGGGGCAAACAAGTCTGTGGCATTACACCAGCTTCCGATCTTATATCCATCGTTCAAAACGCACGTCGACTTATCTCCATTCTGGTTGAAGAAAGTGACCTGGCCATCACGTTCGACCTCAATCCACGCAGCCGGCGAGCCGTTTTCGGTGCCACAGGCCACCTCGATCCGAGTGTTCTCAGGGGATCCATTGGGCATTTCGCTCAAACCTAGAGGCCTTAGCCTTATGATTCTTGTGCCGAGGGTGGATGTACTTACTTGAACAGTCATCTCCCTTGGGTTTGGCAAAAGATGCAGAGTACCCGTCACAACCGTGGTTATGATTCGACCAAATTCGGCATTCATCATCACTGGCAGTAACATTGAGAGTACCACCAAGTGATACACGGGCCCAGATACCCGTTAAAACCATTGGCATCAAAAGCAGCATGTTTCTGAGTGCAATTTGACCAATCTGTCTCCCGGAGTTCGCAATGAGATTTACTCTGATCGCCGGAGAGAATTTCTTAGATGTTAAAATCGAGGAGTAGGGGAGATGCTTATATGTAAAAGCGGTCTCTGTCAGGCATTATTATTGTCATTGACTATTACCTATACAGTATCGTGTCGGTCTTATGGTGTTCTAATCTGGCCGCATTAAATTTTGACTATTTTAAGGGCTCTTGTGACGGGCGTACGACAAATCACGTTGGAAATTCTTTTCTAACCTCAGAATGTAGCATTTAGGTCAGGCTCATTTCTGCTCACCTCAGATAAAGGCAACTCTTGCTATGGCGCATTTATTTCTCATGATTTTGATAATGTAAGTAATCTGTGGTGGTAATATTATCAACTGTGTCTTGTTGAACGGTTCAATGGTCTAGAAAGTTGTATCATGGAACACTTGACTCATCGAGATTTCAGGTAGACCCAAGTTCAGAATTCCGTCTTATTGTGTTCTCTTCTATGTGAGCATTTCATTCACACTAAGCTGAGAGAGTGCCAATTCACACATTTGAAGGAACCTATCACGAGTAGAGAGAGGAATGAGCGGAGCTAGATGCTCAATGACCTTAAAATAAAACCTCTCATATGCCAACATGTATGTCACATGGTTGCAGTGTCATCCACCCTGGGTATTGACCGACTAGTCGGAGCCAAAAAGGACGTCATTTCTCCAAGGCACGGCTTGCTTTCTGAACGTGGGAGTAAGAGTACCTATTATAGCCACACGCTGCATACCTTCGAGATATAGCTACTGGAAGAGTATAAATTTATATCAATTCACGAGTCAACGAGTATAGTCATACGTCACATAACTACCAAATAGGCGGCTGGGGCATTTCATGAATCAATCGATCAATCAATCAGCCTGCAGCTTGCGCCTAGGAGCGTCTAGGTCGGTCTGTGACCTACTTTACTGCTCCTGGGATGTCAAATCGGGATAGTGGACGTACAGTTTCACTCTAACGCGAAAGGTTTTTGTCGGGATATATCCTCCCGTCAGAATAAGCAAAGACAGGTTGTACGTAATCGTGCTAAGCAGCGGCTCCCGCCGTCTGAGGTTCAGGGGCATTGGAGATGGAGAACACACATCTATCTACATTTTTGAATCAATTGACTTTTTGCTTTACGGCATAACACTGTCCACTTAACTGTGTACACAGTACCTAGCTGGTGATACCAACACTGATCAGTGGTTGATTACAACCACAGAACAGCTCGGTTTACACGACCTGGAAGAGGCATTGACCGCAAGGGAACGGGGAAACACTCTGCAGTACCCTCATTGCGGAAGGTGTGCTAAAGGACATCAAAGTATCTCATTGGGAAACACTTGCAGTACCTTTGAGACACGGAGGATTTCCAAAAGATCTACAGTTGAAACCGCAACGAAGATCTGCGTCTACCACGCGAACAACGCGTTAACGGGAAACACCTTGCAGTACCGTCACGACACGCAACCCAACACATTCATTTCGTTTATCCATCTCATTCACGATTACCGTCGATTAAACAACCATGCCAATCCCAGACAACCTCGGATACGCTGTTGAGGAGGAAACATAGCAGAAATCTATCGATACACTCGACGAGAAGAACCAGACGGAGAAGATATTGAACAGACATATAGCATATACAATGCAGGCATAGAACATAATGCGCATCACCGATCGTGCCCTATAGAATGACTTTCGTGAAGAATTCAACGGGTGGACCCTAGACACATTCAAGATGGCCAACAAAACCGCACTGAAGATACTTCGACTTTACCTGATTACCCACGGAGTATGGATCAGAGTACGCATAGGGACATCCTACGCGAAGGGACTATACGACTGTCTCCAAGAGGTCACCTAGCACGAATAGACCAAAGAAGAGATCGAAGACCATCTCAAGGAGCACCCAGACAACTTCAGCTCTAGATAGAACCCTGCACGCGACCGATCACCGACCGTCCGACCACACTCCCCAGCAGCACGAGCTACTTCGGTGAACCCACTAAATCCTCAAACCCCACAAACGAATCTTGAGAAACCACACATCGAACGAAGTGACCAGAGATAGGAAGAAGCCAGATCCATCACGCTTGATACAGCCTACGTGGACAATCACAGACAGCAACATTCCGATTACGGTAGACCCCAACAATATTCCACGGATATACCGTTACCGAGAATAATCGAAGCAGTAACGAGGCAGTACAGCAACACGGACGACAAGTATAGCGGAGGACTATATAACGACTTCAACACTAAGTTAGTCAAGTTCTACGACGTCTGTGAAAAGATCGGCCTACAGGAGCATCAGTTCCACGTCGCATTCTCCCTTATACTTAAGGGGAGAGCGGAGAAATTTTACTTCACACGGATCAAAGGAAAGGCAAGAGATTTCCCCACAATGATAGACATGATAAGGGCGCACTTCGACACAGAAGAAAACCGTCAAAGATATATCACGGAATAGAGAGAGACTACCTTTCCGAGTATTATTGCTCAAAATCCGGAGAAATCGCGCCCGGAGTGCCTCGAGATCCTCTTCGAAACACTCGAGAAGATCCAGCCAGGATTGCCCCCCGAACACCGCTCGGAGACGACCCTACGGGAACAAACCATAAATGCCTGTAGAGGTGTTGAGGAATGTAAATTCTCCTTATATAGGCCGGCGAGCACTCTCGAGGGAGTGCAAGCGGAACTGCGATCAGCAGTTGCTAATGCAGCTTTTTCACCACGGTCGGGGCAATTTCAGGCGTATAAGGAGTACGAGATACACGATCAGCATTGGACCGACCGGACATACGGAGGGAGAGGTCGTGGATACAGCCGCGGAGGTTATAGCTAGCGCAGAGGAAGCTATAGACTCGGTAACAACCGTGAACTCACTCCCTTTCGTGGATCAGGACCACGAGGAGGCTACCGTGGAAGTCGACAGGGCAATCAAGGACCCCGCCAGGGGAGATGCTATGTCTGTGGAAAGCCAGGATACTGGTCGAAGTATCATACCGGGGAGGAACGAAGACAATCACTCAATAACTTCCGCCAGCAACATTACTTCACCACGGGCCAAGCGGCCACCCCACAGGATTTCCAGATATTCCTCAACGACTTTGAAGGAGAGGAGGAGACAGAAGTGCTAGACAGCAATAATAGGCATAAATCAACCCTGATGCTCGCAGACATAACTATTGAGGATAACAGGCACAAGGGATTCTTGACAGAGCTCGGGGAAGTCGACGGGATTAGAATAATATCCATCCTAAACGACCAGTCAGCATACCATTTCTTCACTAAAGACGACATCTTCCAGCAGCGACAAGCCAACGGACAGGCCATTAAAGTGTTCACACTTGACAACCGGTATTCATCTGACACTTTCCAAGGTATCATACCGGATACCGGAGCCTCTAGTGTTTCGTCTGCTAGCGAGCCTCAATTTAGGGCATTATACAAGCTCGACCCCAGAGTCAGACTCGATACGTCCCGGGCTAGGGAACATAGAATCAAATTTAGAGTCGGAGATCCAAAAGTCTCCTTAGGGACTGCCGATGTCGATACCCCAATTAGATCTATTACGTTTCATATCCTTCCCACGAACACACCGTTTCTCTTCTACCTCAAGGACATAGATACTATAGGGGTGGAGCTCAGAAACAAGAAAAACGTACTTGAGCGAGGAAACAAGAGAGTGCCTATCGTTCGTAAGTGGGGACACCCATAGATATTGCTACATAATCTAGAGGAGATAGCAGCATAGAGCCACCTCACTAAGACGGAGCTACGGCAACTCCACCGACGTTTTAGACACCCATCAGTGCGAAGATTGACCCGAATCCTTCAGCGTGCCGGGCACGAAATAAATTCGCAGTGCATCGACTACCTCACGAAGTTCTGCCACTATTGCTAGATAAAAGGCAAGTCCCCAGGACGATTCAAATTCACTTTAAAAGATAACTATAAGTTCAACTACTCGGTTATCGTCGATATCCTGTACCTCGAAGGAAAGCCCGTTTTGCAAGTCATCGATACAGCCACGTCATTTAGTGCTGCGAGATTCCTAAGAGATATATCTGCACGCAATGCTTAGGACACACTTCGTACATACTAGATCGATACCTACCAGGGACCCCCGGACTACGTTGTGCACGATACAGGGAAGAACTTCACATCTACAGAGTTCAAGCAGCTTGCATTGTCGATGTCAATCAAAGTTAAGGAGGTCCCCGTAGAAGCTCACAATAGCGTAGGGAAGGTAGAACGATACCATACACTGCTGCGCCGTGCCTACGAAATTCTCAGAGATAAGCTCAAGGATAAGAACATTGACAAGGAGATAATCCTGCAAATGGCCGTGAAGGCTGTCAACGACTCAGCCGGACCAGATAGAATTATCCCAACACTGCTTGTCTTTAGGGCATACCCGAGAATAACGGAAATAGATCCACCATCACCTTCGGTAATCAAGAGAGCTAAGGCTATTCGCGCTGCAACCAAAGAGGTCCGTCGCCTACATACGGAACGCCAGGTGAATAACGCTCTCGCCATACGCAACGGCCCTAGTACAATCGCCACATTGAACCTACCATTACAGTCGGATATTCGAGTCTAGCGCGAGAAAGGTGGATAGAAGGGCCCATATAAGCTCTTGGCGGTGGATAGAGAGACTTGTACTGTGGATATACCATATAGACCTACGAAGTTCCGATCAACGGTTGTTAAGCCCTACTATAGAGAAGAGCTCCCAGAGGGAGAGGGAGGTCAACGTTGTGTTAAGGTAGAGGACGACCAAATGAATAAGATTATCGACTCGAGACCTATTAACGAGCCCGATAAACCAACGGAAATCCAACGACGAGGTCGAGGACGACCACCAGGATCGAAGAACAAACCGAAACCGCAGACAGTCGTGCGGCGGAGCACCCGACGAGGTCCTGCTCATCATCAAGATCTCGAGGATCAATTCATCAACGCTGTTTAAGAAGGACAAGACGTTTCAATAGCGCTTATAACAAATAAAGAACGAGCCGATATAGAACTGTCTATCAAGTTAAGAAATAAAGGTGTCATCACGACCCCTAGATTGCTATTCGAACAATCCCGGAACGAGGAGATTAAAGGATTAATAGCCAGAGGCGTATTCGAGTTCGTACAATACGATCCAATCAAGCACGCTAGCATACGCATCTTCAATTCGCGCCTAGTCAACGAGATCAAAGGCAAAGCTACGGGTACGCCCTTCGAGAAGTCACGACTTATTATCCAGGCATACAATAATAAAGGGAAGGGGATAATTCTCACGCAATCCCCGACTATTCAGCGAGCCAGCCAACGTATTATCATTACACTCGCCCCGTCACTAAGCGAGAAAGGCATCAGTCTGTCGATCCGGGATATAACACAGGCATATGTCCAGTCAACGACCTCATTAAACAGACTGATTCTAGCACATCTCCCTAAGGAGACCAAGAGCAAATTCCCGACAGGCACAATTATAGTAGTGCGGAAGCCGTTATACGGGATCCCTAAAGCCGGAACCCATTAGTGGGCAACGTACCACAAGCACCACCGGGAAAGGCTCGGGATGGTCACATCTACTTACGACCCATACTTGTTGATCTCAACAGCAAAAGGAGCTTTCGGCGTGGTCGGGATACAAACCGACGATACTCTGATTTTGGGATCCGACGAGTTCGCCGCGCTTGAAGAAAAGGAATTAGCGGAGGCAAAGTTCAGCGCCAAGCCCAAGGATACACTGTCTCCAGAGTACCCGCTGATATTCAATAGCTGCGTTCTAACACAGAAGGAAGGAGACGCTGCAGTTGAGTTACGCCAGAAGGAGCAGGGCAAGAAACTTAAGCTCATCGACCACAAATTCAAGGACTTTAAACACGCATACATAGAACAACGTGCTCGCGGAGCTTACATTGCAACAATCTGCCAGCCGGAGGCTGCATTCGACCTATCCGTTGCCGCCCAACACCAGGACCCCACAGAAGCCGACGTCAACGCGCTGAACAAACGCATCATATGGCAAATGAAGAACCTAGACAGGGGTATCAAATATATTACAATTAACCTATCAACGGCGAAGCTCTTCGTATTCGTCGATGGATCATTCGCGAACAACAAAGATTTTAGCTCCCAGATTAGATATAAGATCATCCTCGCAAACGAGTCCACAAGGAGCGAGGAATTTGAGATCATAGGAAACCTAATCCATTAGAGCTCAACCAAGAGCAAACGAGTTACCAGAAGCGTTTTGGCATCGGAGATCTATAGAATAGTAGGAGGTGTCGATATAGCAATTGCAATTGGCACAACAATCAAGATAATCATAGACCAACTTAGCTTTGGAAAGATTCCTACCATCGTATACACGGATTCATACTCCCTCTACGAATGCCTCGTCAAACTCGGAACCACCAAGGAGAAGCGTCTGATGATCGATATCATGGCACTTCGCCAGTCATACGAGCGAAGGGAGATAATAGAGATAAGGTGGATCAACGGGAGCGACAACCCAGCGGATGCAATGACCAAGGCAGAACCCAACAAGGCCTTGGAGAAGTTCATCACCACAAACACCTTACGAGTGCGAGTTGAGGGATGGGTGGAGAGAAAATAGAATGGTACAGCGAGGTCTAGGTGTGCAACAAGGCGCAGTCTGATTTTTTTTATTGTCCGCTTTGACCGTTCGTTTTGATCTTTCTTTTGACCCTTTTTCATTCGTTCGTTTTGTTCTTCATTTCCTACTTAAGGACACTGGCCTTTGCACAAGAGAAAAGTTGCCAGTGTCGGGATATATCCTCCCGTCAGAATAAGCAAAGACAGGTTGTACGTAATCGTGCTAAGCAGCGGCTCCCGCCGTCTGAGGTTCAGGGGCATTGGAGATGGAGAACACACATCTATCTACATTTTTGAATCAATTGACTTTTTGCTTTACGGCATAACACTGTCCACTTAACTGTGTACACAGTACCTAGCTGGTGATACCAACAGTTTTCATCCAACATTCTGACCTAATACAATTAATACCACATTCCACTGGCCCAAGGAACCTTTTCAGGCTTTGTGCTCCAGGGACAGTATATAATACATATACCGTGCCCCACAACCATCGTGGCTTCACGTTCTCCAATATTCGTTCTTACTCTCATTCTCTTTGCGGACCCTAACGCATCGGCATTAAAGATCTAGACGGGGAAAACAATCCTGTGCTTACATGATGGCTACATACTCTACGGGGTACGCCGTTCGTTTGCGTCTTCTGGTTCTCTTTTGCGCCATTACCTGGCTATCCATAGCCAGCTTCAGCTCAGCAACAGCACACTTTTCGATCATTCTACGGGATTACGCGAGATCCGACTACATAAGAGCCAAGGATCCCTTGCTGCCCATATCTTTCGAAAAAATAATGACCAAAGTCTTCGACTGTATGGTCATTGCGGCCATCCCGTCGGCTTTGTTCTCTATTTTTGGGTTTGTCCTCATGGCCCATCCGCGACTTCTACAAGATGACAACGCCACTGCAATTTACTTTGCTTGTACTCAATTCATACTGAGCCTAGTAGTGCTGTTCATAGAGGGTTATGTGGCGAATGCCATTCGTGGCTACCAGACCTTGTTTGAAGAGTTTGAGGTTCGTGCGAGCCACTTCCCATACTACGGCATGATGTACTACGGAAGTATTGGTGAGGCTGTCTTCGGATCCCTGGTGGTTATTCTGTCTCTAGTTTATTTTGTGATATAGTAACCCCTCCTTGGTCGTCCAATTGTCTTCATGTGAGAGCGAGTTTCTAGGTGCGGAGAAACCAAATAGGTTGGGTTCCATAAGAAGCGATTGCATGACCCACCAAGGAGCTTTTAGGGATGGACTAATCTACTGGATAAGATACGCTTATACTGTATCACATTTTATTGTCGCCGTTTATGTGTCTGCACCTGAAATGAGTTGATGAAAAATTCCAGAAATGTTTGTTCTTCTAGTCCATGTACTTTCTCTCGTGGTCCAATAGCCATGTCAGCCCAACACAATATTAGCAACTTACCGTCCTGTGATTGGTGCTTCATGGAAAACACCAATCTGTTCATGACACTTTGTATATTGTGCTGCGCACAGGTGACGCAGGGCAGAGAAGCCAATAAACCCCTTAGCCGGTCGCCATGCCCGAAGGCATCGAGCAATTTCCTTTTCCTCGAGCAAAATTGCTCCTGTGGCCGAAGGTCTGGAGGCTCGGTTCAGTCACCAGTGTAAGTGCGGATGTTTATACAAGTGTGTAGACTCAATATTGAGCGGGAAGCAGGAAAGCAGTGGTCGAATGCCATCACCGTTGCCTAACGCATCGCCCGAAAATGCTGAGCCCCACCGTCAACGTTAAGGATCAACTTTGCAGCACCAACAATATAACAGCATTCGCTTCTTAATTTCGACAGGGAAGACTCAAGGAAGTGAGCCACTTGCTCCTCATCATGAGACTATTACCGTATGATAGGAAGATGACCGTTGCTCAACATTTGTAATCGATTTCGTGGTTCAATACGAAAGCCAGAATATAAATACTATCACCCTTCTCCAGTCAATTGCCTTCCCAAAACCAACTCATATTTGGTTCACCTACGGGATGGTCAAGAATGACAACCAATCACGATACCGACGCGAGTGAGGAGGATAGCCTCATGGCTCAGGCGAACGGGCAGCTTGAACGCGAGCTGCTCCAATGCCAGAAACCACCATTCCTTACATACCGAGCGCCCCGATGCGTGGTGCCTCTCGGCATCTCCCCAGCTACGTCAAAGACTGGATGCCAGCAGATGCTTTTCGGGAATTGTACCAAAATTGGTAGGTGCCCCCCTTTTCCGCTGGACAAACGCTAATCAACGCAGGAAGGACGCCATCATAGAAAGATTCAATCTTGACCGTCAGAGCTTCCAGCCATTCTTGGAAGACCACGGTGACCATCTCTCAATCGTTGTTCCCGACCAGAACCTTGCAGCCAGCGGAACGTGAGAATCGACGCGCACTGGGTTTCATTCAGTACGAAAAAAAGACCGGTCGAATCACGATCGCAAATGCATGCATGTAACTACCCGTCAAGGCTCTAGGTATGTGATTCTTAACCAAAGATGCCCACGACCATCTTGTGGGACGCTACGGCGAAGGTCTCAAGTTGGCGGTCCTGGTTCTCTCTCTCGATAGCTACAACGTGAGTATCACCGCAAGTGGTTGCAATTGGAGGTTTGACATGCACACAGACGCATCGGTTTCTTGCACTGTCGCACCGTCTCAGAAAACCAAGTCAATCGAGTGGACCGATCCTGCCCTCGACATGGCAAGCCTACGTTACCATGTGGCAGTGGTGATCGGCGCGACGCGGGCCAAGTCGAGCCGACCCGTCGCGCTAGACGCGTTTGTGAATTGGCTCCGCTTGACGACGATGGACATTCGCGGGCTCACCTACCCTTCCGGCATCATTTCCACACCACATGGCGACTTAATTCTTGATCCCCAGCTGCGAGGTCAGCTGTATCACAATGGGATCACCTTGACCAATTCCACCGTGGGCGGCGCATTCCTCTTCGCGTACAATTTTGCCTCTTTGACCACCTGCCGAGATCGACGCAGACTGGCATCCTGGCGGGATGCGGCTCGCCAAGTACAACGGATATGGGAGGAGGCTCTACGCAAGCAGGAAGACACCATCTTGCCTCTACTCGTCGATCTTTGGCGTCGGCAGAACGGGCATGCAGACAGACCACGAACACAATCCGGGACAGCCTCGGCAAGCGCCCGGCACGCCTACCCGACACGCTGTGGCACATACTGCGTGCCCACTGCCCCATCCGAACGTCGAAGAGAAGCAGCAAGAGCTGTTTAAGGATGCAAAGCCCTACGTCATCCCAGACACAACATTCGCAAGAACAGTCGACCGCGCGTTGCGAGCCTACTTCGCTCTGCTGAAGTTCACCGACCATATTTAGGTAGTCTACGTCCGAGGCTTGGCCGGCAAAGTCAACGTATACTTTGACAAGGGACAGGGTACGCTCAAGATACATTGCCGATGGTTGGACTTTGCTTGTATGCACCACCGGTCGTTCTACCGGCCCTGGTCTCCGATCAACCTGCCGACACAAACGCACCGTTTTCTGTTGCCATGTGGTGGAAGAGCTCTTGGTTCGATCAATTTGCGTCCATGTTCAAGGCACATCCCACGGCTCGACAAGCAGAAATAAAGTTCATGCGTCAGATTGGACGGCGACTGCGATACCTGCCGCACAGCATCAACTTGAAGCCATACCCGGGGGCATTCTGGTCAGTTGGGAAGACAATGAGACGGAAGCATTTCGCATGCTCGGCCCGAAAGGCCCAGACTATCATGTTGTGCTGCATGAAGGAAATTGCGCAAGTGCCGAAAGGCGCTTCTCCATGAGAAAGCAGGTAAGTGGTCACCCACGGTCAAATTAATATAGCTAAACTCATCATGTAGCCCTCCCAAACGAAGTGATGTCCTGTGGCTGCCATCAGCAATTCGCTCGTCAGATTGTGCTGGGAAAGCCCGGATCAGGATGCTCTACCCTTTTGAAAACAATCGCAGGCGAAATGAATGGCATCTCGGTATCTGAGGACTCGGCGCTAAACTATCAAGGTACATGCCAACCTAGAAACCGCCATGTCGACTGGCCTGCTAACAAATCCGACTGAATAGGAATCTCGGTACAGAAAATGCGCAAAAACTTCAAGGGCGAAGCAATTTACTCCGCTGAAACCGAAGTCCACTTTCCTCAATACGCGGAACATATGAGAGACGTGGTCATGGAAATGCTTGGTCTGTCACACACGATCAATACTGGCGTCGAAAACGATTTCATTCGTTAGACACACCGAATATACCTCTTTACCGGTCTATCGCACGCATCGATATATTATGCTATGATTGCGTTGAACGAGGATCGGGCTTTCTACGGGGTCCCGTCCAATCGAATCTCGCCGGGGCCATATGAGGATGTCAAAGCTACTCTCCAGTAACATTCGGACAAGGTCTGCACTCTCTGCTGCATATAAGGCTTTGATGGGAAGGCGCGAAGAGCGCGGATAGTAATTTCATTGTATTCCACTCAAGTACGATATGCTAACATTCTACATGTTCCACAGGCGTCCGAGTTGACTCTGATTTGTCTTATTCAATGCTATTGCACGCCCGTGACTGTCTACAATCGAACACCCAAATCTCCTGGTCTCCGCATCCATATCACCAAAGTTTGATGAATTATTAAGGGTGCGTGTTACTAGTCTTCTCGCACATATGCAGCGCAATTTGATTCGCGGCGGTGACCAGAACGGATGGTCATCTAACAACTGTCTAGGCATGTGCGGAATATTACGAATGAATATTAGCCCCTTGCCTCGCACACTCGATCCATCTACCCACCACCGACGTATACACCACCTTGTGGCTATAATCGGTTCAGACGCGACGACCGGCGAAGCGAAGGAGTCGGGTTAGCCAGACGGACTGACCGACGGACACTGCGTCCCGCGCCGGACATTGTTAATCTGCGGCGCGATGACACTAACTGCGCCGGGAGACGGGCTAAACCGGCCCGCTGAGGGTTTTCGATAGTATTCGTCTCTTCCGCCACTGGAGGTGCATATAATCTCGCGTTTTCAACATCTATGTCGGGATTTGTCGTAATCGTCCTCGGCGGGCGGAGCAGGGCATCCAGAGCGTCGTCCCTTCGGCTACGGCGTATAAGCATTGAAGTAACTGGGGAGGCTAATCGAGACTTACCAGGCACAGCAGGACACGTTAGATGCCACCTCGCGCTTCTCCAGCCACTCCTCCACGCAGCCTAGGTAAGCTAATCCCCGGCACTGTTTGCAACGGAGGATCACGCTCTCATCCGCTTGGTCTTCGTCGTCACCCAGACAGAATAGACAATGTATATAAGACACCTCGTCGCTACGAGTGAGACTGTGCAGTTCCAGATTTTGCATCCCCGCCCCGATATTGAACCCGGACAGAGTAGCTGGTTCAGCCGACGAGATACACCACGGAACACTATCAGTGCGCAGCATCGATGCCGTGACGTATCGAACTGTCCTTTCCAATGGCCCGACAGGAACGGAGTCACGGACCGGTGGTATTATCCCCTCGTTCTGACGTGTAACCCTGCGGGGAATCTCCGACTCGGAGGGACTCGTGAGAGTGGGCCGCTGGCTCTGACTGGCATCCGTATCAAATGCGACAGAAGCATCCTCGGAGATGTAACCCGCTTGTTCCGCGTTGCGAGCCACGGCCTCACCACTTCTGGCCAACGTGGTTTGCCTGTCGCTGCCGGTGCCATCTAGCACAGAGAAAGTTTTTTGCAATATCACATAAAATAGGTCGTAAAGTCGAGAAGTCGAGTGATCGTGTTGCAAGATTTGCTAGTTGCTGTTGGCCAGCCTTGATGTCTTTGATTTTGATGGAGTTCTTGCACGGTGCGCCCGTCTTAGTAGTCCCGCAGCAGATTCGCGCCTCCCCGATACCTATCTCGTAAAGAATAAAACGGCCCCACGGTTGGTAAGAAGATATGACTTGGTGATATGCTAGAATGAGAAACGATTCTAATAATTTAGATGCCAACCAAGGGCCGAAGCCACTCCTTTATACCCCAGTATAGCTTCGTCTGAAATCATACGAATTCACTTCATCAGCAACATCTCTCATACGTAGCTGCCTACCGTAGTGAAGGAATATGTCTTTTCTGTAG